GAAACAAGACGTCCCTGGCTCCGATCTGCGCCGCAAAATGAGAAGTGATGATGGCAGGCTGGGCCAGCGGTGATCCGCACCGTGCCATCCCCCGGAGGCGACCAGCAGTGAGGAAGTCAAAGCGGTCTTTGTGCGGCTCCTGTCCGCTGCGTGCTCGTTAATCATCCCCGCCGCGGCCGCAGACCCAACCCCCCAGAGCCCGCCGGTCTGTGGGACTCAAAGCTTTCGATCAGCGGACATTTAACTTCTCTGAAATGTTATTTAACGTTTTCCCCCATGCTTCGAAATTTCCTCAATGAACAGTGCAGCATCACTTCTGTATAGATACGCAGACTACCTCAGAATGAGGAGTCCATAGAACTAATTGACTGAAATCAGTCAGCCCTGAACAAAGCAATTAGGCTAGTTCCGATGCTACCGTGCTATTATCGTCATAATAATCATGTGCCCGTGAGCCCCTGGTTAAAGTTTATGTCCATTAATATTCGTTTTATCCATAGGTAAGAAAGTGATCACTGGTCTTGATATTACATAAAATACACTGAGTTTTATATGAAAACAATGTGTGATTTATTAACATTTAAATAAAAAAATCCAAATGTCTAAAGTAAAACCGCAATTCCCAAAATATAGCCAAAGGGTTCACATCCATTAGTCGGAAGGCAGTTATTCTCTTGGTTAAAGGGGGGGAAACTTGAGGCGAATCCACTTTAAGTGAATGCGCGTTTCTTCTCTCCATTGGCTTTATTATCCAGCTGGCTTGATGAGTTTCTCTGGCACAAATCAGTTCTTAGACAGAGAATAGCAATCCCTTGATCCTCATCAATTGTCATCCAGAATTTGGGCCACTTTGACCGTCAGTAGTGGGGAAGTCAGGACTAATCCCCTGATGGAATCACGGGCAAAGAAAAGCAACAATAACCAAGTCAAGCGTAAAAAATGAAAGCGAAATCTCTATTATCACCCTCTACATTTCCCAGCTACGTAGTGAAAATCAGCTAGTTTGTCATTCGAGTCAGACACCCGGAGAAGAATATGGGGTCGCGGTGGGTTGTTAGACTCACACGACGTAGAGAGCAATATTTCGGTGAAAAGGCCCCGCATTTGCAAAATCCCCCTCACATCCCGACATAACCATTAAATACAGACTGACTTTATTTTGTATAGAAAGCAAAAAACAAGAAAAGAGGCACAGTTCTCGTATAAAAGAATGAGGTTTTGGGGGATTAGGGCTGGCCCGAATGATGCAGAATAACTTCTGCATAGCTTTACAAGTATTTTTCTCTCGCCTGTATGAGCCAAGTATACGCTAAACCAGAAAGGTTTTAAGTTAACCATTTGAAGAGCATTCTTTTTCGTTCTTTTTAATATTCCGATTCAGTTCAAGGCTGAGATTTTTCACGCTTCGGGTATTATAATGAAATTCACTGAAAGATTTTAAAAATACAATAGACCCACACATTATGTAGCTCACTGTCAGAATTTAATGTTCGCCATTCATTTAGCCTGCATGCGCTAATGTAAGGAAGAAGTTATAAATGTAATGTAAGTTATCCCAAATACTCAGAAATTGATTCTAATAGTGGACAATTGCTTAATGATGGCATCAGTAAACAACTTAAATACAAACGGCAAATTATTGCCACAATTCATTTACTTTTGCTATAGCCTACGTACACTTTGCTTAATTTTATATGGATCGAGTGGTGTCGTCACAGATTATATTGTTTGTAGGAATATTAGATTTTTTTCTTCCTCGTTTTCCCGTTCATTAAAAGTAAAATCCAATATTAGGCATACGCGGAATAAGTTTTCTGTTAACTTTTTTCCAATCTAAGTGAAACGGGAAGAGTTTAAACACCGATGAAACTGCTACAGATATATTAGCCATGAGTTTTCTTGTGGTTCAAAGATCTGTTCTCAGCGTCGCTTTGCCGGGGCTAATCAATTAGAGTACTGATGTCTAAGTCTAAGTCTAACCCTGTTTTCTTGGTTGTCATTTTATTAATATAATCACTCCTTTGGAACATTTAGAATTATCCTGCCCTCCCCAGATTTATTTTATAGTGAAGCTTTTGCTTCATCACCTTGCTAAAGAGTACTTGAAACGATGGAGACACTCCGCTATCCTAATTAGTGATTTTTGTCCCCTTGTCGAAGGACTCTGCGTTTTATGCAAATGACACCCTTCACGACCATCACCATTACCAGAATTAGCTAGCAGTTTTATTCAATGATATGCCGATCTTCTCTTAACCTAGTCTGGCTTGATTGCTCCAATGAATAATAATGCAAAGATTTTTATACATTTATTCTGGATTTTTAGCTTTTAGGGCAAAAAGTTTTCACGATATGATCACTAATTTTACGGATCTGCGGATCACAACTGCAGAAACAAGACAACAACAACAACAACAACAACAACAATAATAATAATAATAATAATAATAATAATAATAATAATATGCCTGATCATAATAATAATAACAATAATAATAAGAATAGTAGCAGCAGCAGCAGCATTAGCAATATCCATATAATTCTGGTGGCATGTAATATAACTATAGATATACAGTATGACTAGGTAATATATACTATATATACTATGTACTATACTATATACTACTTACATGATTTCCTACATGATTGATTCCATTATTAACTGACTGGCAATTCTTGTGTAATAAAGTTGTTTCAGGTCATTTTGATGAAGATTTGTTTCAAGTCTGCTTCTGGATTTATACCACACATGTTTACCGGGCTCCTCTGAAATGTGAATACAGTATCTTGGCCAAGGACACTTCTGAAAAGGTTTTTTTTTTTATGTCCACAGTGATTCTCATAGGAGAACACCAGGGGCCAGGTTCAACAATAGCCAATGCTCTTACACAGATGCAACTTATGCATGCATTAGAATAGTCCTAATGTAACACATGCGTGTCCCTTTAATTTTCATTAGGCTTGATGGCAGTGGAATTGCGGTGGACCGCAAGTTATCAAGAGCTACTAATTTCACATTAAAGACCATTGACTGTGACGGGTTGATTCAAGGGTTTTCGACAATTAACACAATCAGAATTTGAGCCCAGATCATTTACCTTGACTCTGTAATTATTTTACTCACTCGCACATTTAAAAATTGCATGGTGTCAACTAGCTGTAAATATGAGAGGTAAATGCAATTGAATAGTCCAGATGACTCCATACACCGTACTTAACTGCTCATTCTTCGCCAAGTCAGACCGATAATTATTAAGTTCTTTATATGAAGGGCAGCGTCTGACCATGTGCCGTGATTCTCTTCAGATGTTTTCAGCCGGAGAAATGTCACAAGTCATGTCTTTAAAAAAGCACAATGTGAGAACTTGACAAAGAGGTATAGCTGTCAGGATGCTGTCTTCTATTTGCCTCTCAAATTTTACCGTTACTTGGTCAGTTGTCAAATCCAAGTCCATTGTTTTTGTTTGACACTAAAATGTAAAAAAATGGCTGAGGAAATTCACTTGTTAAAAGAAAATACATATGAACAATGTTATTTAATTCGCATAATTTTTTTGGGAAATTATAAATAGCAGTAAAACTGTGTGCAAGGCAGAATGGGAGAAAAATATAAAACCAATTCTTTTATTATAAATACTTGTTTTTTTGGTTATTTCTTGCAGTTTTGTGTGCATTTAAGTGCACATTTCAACAACGTATGAGAAGTCATTACATCCACATTCTTGAAACCTTCCAATTATGTGCATGACTAAATAATACCTGTTGTGAAAGTCCTTTGTGCCGTTTTGTACAAAAGGGTTCTCAAGTAACACACCTCTTGAATGTGTATGTTAAACAAGAACTCTGTTCATAAGACCAGAACACCAAATTATACCTTCACACAAAGCACATGGAGTAATAGTGACTGTGTGTGTGGTTGTGTGAGTATGCATCTGAAGAAGTTAAGATGGACTGATTCCACAGCAACAAACATCACGCACATAATGAACCAACCTGGAAACAAGTAAGGCTGATTCGCTTGACTTTATTTGTTGATTTCACGAAGGAACATTACTCGACGGCACGATGTTTTCTTCTGATGACAATCGTTAGATGGAAGGCCTCGATGCCATAGAATTGCTGTTAAACCAGGAACACTACAATGGCTTTGGACAAGTCATCTTGAATGTTACAGCCGAGTGCTGAAAGGCCTATTGAGAAAACCAAAGCCTGGGTCTGTGTTGACCTTAGACATTTATATATCAGAAGACAAAAAGGCGATAGCAGCGAGGTTAAGACCCAGCAGAGCTTCCCAGTGCCTATAATGAAAAAATGAGGGCTGCGTAAAAACTTCGACTGTTCAGTCTCCTAAAGTGAGGAGATCTGGATGAAAGCGATTTCTGTCGTTCAAATTCAGTGACTTTCAGAGTTATGTTTCATTTCGAGGAAATAATACTTTATATGGAATTCAGCGTGAAGGAAAATTAAATAAAAATAATTGGTAAAATCGAAACAATCCACAAATATTTACTAAAAGTTTAGATTTTTTTTTGGTCCAAAATCTGTATGAATAAAGGTAGCACCTTCCATAAAATACAAAATAATTAAATGAAATAGAGAAGAAACACAAATAATTTTAAACACGTTCACATTTTCAGATTACATCATTAACATAATATAGATGTTAACAGGTTAACTTTGAACATGAAACATTCCTTCAATTGTTTCAGAGCACAATTTAATATTTCTTGCTTTTCAGTATGAATTCAAGCAATAAATGCAGCTGATCAAACAAAACACGCAAAATATTAAGCAAATCAGGTGTTTTCAGCGTGGTTAGTAAAATTAATTGCGAACCAATGTCTAGATGGTGAGGAAAATTAGAAGCGTTTGATAACAGGTTGATAGCACATAACCACATAAACGACACCGCAAAAGTCCTTCTGTCTCTCTTTTTCTCGCTATCCTTTCATCCCCCATTCTCTTTTTCTCTCTCGAGATCTGCAGCCTGTCACGTGACGACACGGGGAAAACAGGAAGTGCATCGTGAGCTTCAGCTCGCCGTCTCGCGCGTTCAGACATGGTGCTGCTCCTCAAAGTCGTTGCGTGTTTCGTCGTTTTGCTTCACTGCAGTCGAGCTCAGGCGTCGTCTTTCGAGGTGAACCTCACCGTCTTGCCGTCGTTTATCTGGGATGACGTTGCAAATAGACTTAATGCTCTTCCGTCTATTCTGACTGTGTCGCCTTCGCAGGAGCCCAGTTTCCATTCCTCCTCTGATTTGCTGCTGTCCTCCTTTCACGGAGATCCGGAGATCAGCGACTACTGCCGCGAACTGCTTCACATCTTTGGGCAGCGATATGTGTCCTACGTGAACTGCCTCGTTTCATCTGCCCGTCCGGTCAAGGTCTGCCTGAACTGCTTCATGCTGTATAACAGGTTGACTGACATCTACAGCAACATATCGCAGGTAAACGAGCCCAGATGTACAGCCGAACTCTCTATTATCTTTGTAGTCAATTTACACACATAACATCCAGCCGCAATTTCGTTTTACATAGCTAACAGGTTTAATACAGATTTGTTATTTCGTTAAGTGATCCCACCCCCCCCACAAGCAATCTTTAGTGACGATACATTTCTTGTTCTTTGGTGGTCACGTGTTGTCATGTGTTGTCACAGTTGTGCAAGTACATGGAAACGTAGTAATAGTATTAATATAAGAAATTCCAATTTCAAACAAGTTGCAATGTGGTTTTCTACTCCAGTACAGGCATATCTTTACTATCTATGTCATCATGAAATAACACATTCAGTTATGTGAGAATAACCTCACTTCAGAAGAATGTAACGATATTGATTTTACTTTTTACCTGACTGGTTTGTCCTAGGTTGGCCTTGGCAACGAGAGCTGTCAAGTTACTCTCCTCCGCTCCGACAGGCTGATGCTGGTCTATGAGCTGTATGACAAAATAACGGACATTTGGAAAACCTCTCACTGCTCCAGTGGGTATTATAGCAATAAACTTATTATTGAATTGTGCTTCCTTATTGTTGTCATCCTGACGCGTGCAGCTTGCTGCTTAGTATGTTTACTGATTTATGTAGCTAGATGTGCTTTTTACAAATTGATAGCTTTGCCGGAGTGTTATAGCAGCTAGAGTTTGAACCAGTGCCCTCTTAAACACAAGTGCAGCTCATCAAGCCACATCAGCACTCGCTGCTGCCACCTGCAGCCTTTTGGGTGAAGGGCAAGATAGCACCTTTGTCACTCATATCCTGGCTTTGCCAGGAGGTTCTGGTGGGCCAGCGGCTGAGAGTCTGACGGCCTTGTCTGAGGACAGAAACGATGGTCCTCCTCTAACTCTGTTCTATGCTTCCCACTTCTGCAGATTGCCTATCCAATGACAGTCTGTCCAGTGACGCACTGCACTACATGGCAAAGCTGAATGAGTCACTGCGCTGCTTTGAGAGTCAGGTTCGTAAGGCCTTAGAAGAGGAAGGGAAACAGGCTGTTGGTCCATGTAATGACCCTGAATAAGTAGCTGGAAATGCTTAATAAACACTAAGGGGAAGGGGAGGTGGAGAAGACATATGAAGGGTGCTGCTAAATAGCTCAGATTTTCCAACTTTCAGCAGTGGTTTTTCCCTGCACTTAGATTTAGTTGAGCAGTTGAAAATGTTTTTGTTTTTGTTTTTTTTTTAATGATTTCAGAAAAGCAACCACTCTGAGCTTTGTAAAGAGTGCAAAGCATCCTACAAAGTGCTGAATGATCTCTATGGCCGGATGGAGAAGAACAAGAGCCTGTGCATCGACATTGAAGACGCAGTAAGTGCTTGGTCTTTACGAGGGCCACCGGTGTCTTCCTCATGCCTTCTCATGGTGTGATAAAGAAAAGCCTGGATTTATTAAAAATTAAATACGAACCGGAAACATAGCAATAATGTTATAAAGAGCTGATGGGAGCCACTGGCTTAAAAGAAAACATTGTCAGAAATTAGTTGAAAGCAGGAAAACAGCACCCCCTAGAGGTCACCGGCAGACCGCCGCTGACCAGCTGTCGTTAATTGGCGTTATCAAACAAGAAGGTCTGCAGGAATTCTAGATCAAGTGATGGTCCATGTGAAGATGTGTGTATGTGTTTGTTTTCTGTCTGCTTACCAGGGTTGGGGTCATGGGGGGAGGGGCGTAAAACCTATGCAAGGGGTATGCACTGGATGGAATTCCAGTCCCTCTCATACTATACATACTATATTATGTATGGCATACAGTATTGAACAAAAGTCTAACACAGTCAAAGGAAATGATGTTTAAATGTTATTCATGTTGGTGTTAGACATGATAAAACATGTTGTCTGTCCAAGTGTGTCAGTTTAGCCTTTTCAAAGTCACCCCAGTATTTGCAGGAAACGTCCAATACACCAGTGTATTTTTTTTTTTCACTTGAGCACTACCCCGCCTCATTTGGCTAATCAGTGCTTCATTGAGTTATTTAAATAATTAAGTTAATTAATTTAATTGAATTGGTTATGAAATTTAAAGAGCACATGGAATCACTGAAGTGCCCCAGAAGAGGGATTTGGGAACTGAGGCGTGTTCATCTAGACGTCCAGCAAGATATCAGAAAGTTAATCGGAGAACAGAAGTAGTTTTTTTTTTTTTTTATTGCATTACTGTTAATTTCCATATATTGAATTTTAAGTTGCCCATAGTGATTAATATTTAATTTTTTGTTAAATTCAGTTTTTTTTCTTGTTCAAATATGCATTTACTACCCAGGTAAATGGCCTAAACAGTTTTCTTTGACTGCCTAAGACTTTTGCACAGTACTGTGTATATAAAATACGTATAAGCTGCTTTATCATTGGTTCGTTAGCTGCTGTTAATAAGTGCTAACTGCTGTGCCCCCCCCCACCCCCGCAATCCCTTCACGTTTCCCTCAGACAACCAACCCACCTCCCAAAAATTAGTGCAGCCGAATGCAGCTGTCACTGTCATCCTGCATTGTGGGGGGGCATGGGACAGAGAGGTTACGCTTTTGTTTTTCCATTAGTGCCCACAGTGATTAATGTTTTTTTTTTTTTTCTCTTCCAGATGAACATGACCCGTATACTGTGGAGCAAGAGCTTCAATTGCTCCTTCCCGCGGGAGGAGACCGTGCCCGTCATCGCCGTGTCCAGCTTCATGCTCTTCCTGCCCATCATCTTCTACTTGAGCAGCTTCCTTCACTCGGAACAAAAGAAGCGTAAACTCATACACCGTGAGTAACCGCCGTGATGTGCCCATTGTTGCATTGTTTTAGTTTCCAGTCAGTGAGTTTCATTTAATGACATGGGAAGCCGCAGCATGTTAACAGGAATCTGCATCTACATCGTTTGAGTTTGGTTTAGCTTTTGGTCCAATACTTTGATTTGTACACTACCAGGCAAAAGTTCCTGCACACCACAGATTTTTGCCATTTATTTCATAAACTGCATATATTTTATTCTTGTTAAGCATTGGAAAGTTAAGTGAGCAACTATAAATGAAAATATAAGTCAAATGAAACAAGTTTCCTTTATAACTTGGAAAGAGTTTGTAACAGAGATCATATTAACTGGTTATGTGCAGAGTCAAATTCTAGGCTGTCCTTTAACTTTAAATGCACTAGTTAACTGTTTTATCCCATGAAACAGAGCAGTATTTAATGTCCCTTGTAGAAAGAATGCCTCACATTTTCTCTGCTGCTATAACTGCTGGAGGAGGTTACTTTGAAGACTAAAAGATATGACATTTTCTTGCTAATAAAAGTACTCAAATGGTGAACATACTGTAAATGTATTTGTTGGCAAAGAGTATTGAGTGTATTTTTAGTAAATGTTAAGTGAGTAGCATGCAAATGTAAAAATCTGTGCATGCAAAACACTTGACTGATATTGTACATTACATTTAATTACATCTATTCAATATGGGTGCTTACAATACATACGTATATAAATAAAGCAACCTGTGTGCCATAATTATTACATATCACATTATTTATTAAATAGAATTTATTTTGAAAATGGCAAAAATGTATGTTAAAAAGGTTAAAAAGGCGTAATTGTGGGAGTTCTTTTGGTTTTCTGTGACTCCATGAGCTTGTCTCAATAGTACATTAGCAGGATCTTCATAAACCGGAAAGGGCAGCTCATTCATCCAAAGGGCCGTAATAGTGACTGTGGCCCATTGTCTTTCCCCTGATTCACAAGTGCCTGTGAATGTTAGCGAAAATCTCTCTGGCTCATTGTCAAATTACCGTGTGAGTCAGGAGTGGCTCGACCAGAGATCAAGTCAAGAAGCGTTCAGTAGGAGTCATGAGACGATGTGGTGCATTGATGGCTGATGCAGTTTTAAAAAGGCATATTGAGGAGGGAGAAGGGAACGGTCCGCTAATCCCTAAACAGATGTCCGTTCTCTCTATGATATTGAACAGGACTCTTGCAGTAGCGATGCTCCACGTGCCAGCCATGAATGACAGCTAATTGTTGAGTGATTGAGCTCTTTGTAAGTCCTCAAATTGTTCTTGCTCCATAGCCAAGCGTGTGAAATCAAGCAACAGCCTGATGAACATCCAAGACAAGCACAGCTGAAAGCACATTGGGGCTGACACAAAGGAACCAGGAAGTGCACCACGACGGTGGCACGAGGTCACATGATCCGATAACGGTGGATGAATCACAGTGGAAATGGGCTACTGAAGGAAGGGGACACCTGGTTTGATTAATCGATTTAACTTCTGTTGAACAAAGAAAATGCTGTAATGCTCGCTTCTTTGGCTGCTGCTTAAATTCTTACCAATCAGCTATTTTGATTACTATTGGCCAAATTACTGTTGACTTGTGGTTTATTTTGTATTACTCCTGTTTAAAATGGCAGAAGCAATTCAGATTATTCACCTGATTCAGAAGGTGCTGCACTGTATGAGATGGCACTCGAACCTGCAGCATACTGGCTACCAGCTGACCCGTAAACTACTTGAACAGAAAAACCAGAGCTCAAGCAGCGCTGACCCTTATTCCAGATGATGGGATCCAAAATTGTACTACTTTGCCAAGATCTACAGCAGGTTTGAGCAGCTCTGGTGAGCACGTGTTCATCTTTACATAGTCGTGTAAACATTTCGCTTTCCATGAGCAGTGTTTGGTTAATTGTTCAGCATTAAATGTTAAGGTGATTGGGGTTCCAGCACTGACATAGCAGCAGTGGCTGTTGGTATTTCACCCTTTTCAGTTTGTGTTTTACAGTTTTGCAGCTGCACGAGACAAACACTGCAGCCGGTATTCCTTCAAATACATCATTGTGTTATAATTATATTTGTACCTGCCACTGGATTTTTTTTTTGTAATTTCATATTTAGATATTCTTTATTCTGAAATGTGTTCCTCTGTGTGAATTGTAAGAATTAAGTATGGAGATTGTGTATAATATGGAGTATAATATAATTTGCTTGGACTTCTGTTACGTTATTTATATCTTTGAGCTTGCGGCGCGCACATTTCCTGCATCAGTGTGTATAGTTATTGGTGGTTATAATGATGTCGACTGTGAGACTAACATGACCTCAATAGTGGCCGTTACATGTACCTTTGTCACATTTTGTAGAAGATGGCTGACAGGAGGAAGTTCATAATGAAACCAGATCAATAAATTAATACATTTGAATGGCATCCTGTTTACTAATTTTATTCTTACTGGTGTAATATGAAAAAGATTTTGTGGCTCACATGCAATACTAAGCCTATCCCTTAAGATCACTTTAGTCCTGTGCTTCCTCCTCTTAGTCACATGACCATATATTGGTGCTCTGCTTATGATCTCATCCCTTTTTTAATACTAAGATAATCATTTCAGCAGTACTTTTCAGGCACATCTAGATCAGCATTCAGCTTTTTTATTTTGTCTTGCAGATGTTCACAAAATATTGCACTTATTGGAATTTGTACAGATGATGACCATTGGCATGAAATTTAAAATGAAAAAATAAAAAAATATTAAAAATAAATATATTTTTCCCCTTTTGGCCACATACTGTGTGTGCGTGCGTGCGTGCACGGAAATTTTTAGCAAAGTTTATAACTGGGCTATTGTGACCGCTAACCCCAAGAGTTCAGTATCGTTGTATTCAGGTTACTTTGTTGATTCCTTTGGTGGCTGTGTTAAACTCCAGTCTCCTGTTCAGTAGCTTGTGTGTTAAAGTTACTTGGCTGAATAATCGTACCAATTCCTTGCCTTTTTGGTCTTATGGAGGGCAGCCCTCCTGCCCATTGAGTCACTCCTTAATAGCATTAGTGTCGATTTGCTGAATCATATGACATGTGCATCGCAGCCAATCATAATGGCGTGACCCTGGTGTGTAGGATTGGGATTGGTAAATCCATGGCTTTCTGGGCACACTAAGCAATACAGATGGGCTCACCCTCACACCTACCCTGGGGTCAAATTGACCCCAAAAGCACATGTCAGGTGACACCTCATAGTAACGTAATTATTGTAGGAGCGCAGTGATGTATAAACGATGGCCAGTTACTGGATCTTTCATAGGTTCAGAGGTTTGCAGCAGTTTGGAGATGGGAATTCTTGTTTCTTCCAGTTCATCATATTTGAATCAGGACAGAATGTTCATTGACTAGCCAAGTTCTCTCTAAGATGACTTTCAAAGACACCATGTTGCAATACAAACAAGGAACCTTCATTAAGGAACAATTACCATGGTGGAAAAGTATTTCCTAACAGTAGCCCAAGCTACAAAATCAGATGGTGATTATTTCTTCTCAGGCATGTGCCTAACCTGCTATCAATTTTTTCCTTGTCCTTGAAGTCCCCACTGTACTTCTACACACCCCATGTGCTAATCCTGGCCCCCTAGTGTAAAATCATTAGTGTAAATAGACCCACAAACCTCTTTTTGCTGGCTTTTGGTGGGAGGGGGGACACAAGTAGCACGAGGCAGCAACCGAAAGCACAACACGTGCCAACGTGCCCCAGTTTTCAAAGTGATGACTTTTAAGTGTAGTTATGCGATAGAAATTATAATGAGAACTTTTCCATAAGTTACCCATGTCTTTTATGAAATAGTAGGATGTCCATCCATCCTACTTTGAGTATAGGGTTTCAGGGGATTTAAAGGAGAAGGAGCTTTGTTGGGAATTCACTGTGAAATAATTCTGTCATAAGTGAGGAAGGAAAAGATTTGGTAAAGTGACTCGAGGTGTCCCGAATTTTCCTTGGGCCAGATCACAGGATAATAATATCTGGGGGTCCAGTCAGACCCTTTAGTCGCAGTGCTACCTTTCCTTTTGTTTTCTGTTTATTTCTGCATGGCTGTTTAGTTAACTATTCAGTGACGTTTGCTGTAGGAAACCTGAATGGAAACCTAAAGACAGCAGAGTTCCATACTGCTCTCATGCTGGCTTGATCCTTGGTCCATGTGATTCTGTAGACAATTTATGGGCCTGTTGGACTGCACTACATTCTCTGTGACGGTGATTATTAGTGGCAGTACTGCAATTCCGTTAGTCTTCATGCTAATAATTGCCGCTTCTCTTCCTTTCCAAAGTTACACTTTGTACAGCAGCTAATTCCTTTAAATCCGCCCTTGATACATTATGAAGAGGCCAATGTTTCCTGCTTTCATGCTGACATTAAGAAACGGCGAGTTAAAACTGAAGTTATGTAAACCCCGCTTAAGCTGTAAATTAGCTAACCGCTAAGAGAGCTAAGCTAGCTCAGGATCTTGCTGTAATGAATATGGTGCTTTGTTACAGGGAAAAACATACGCCTAAGATATATAATCAGGAGAAACCCCCCAGGAGAGAGCATGTGCAGCTGAATAAAGGGGCTTATTATACCTGCGGGGTCAAAGTCTGTAGATCTGGAGCTTATGCTATTATGATAGATTATAGAATCACTCTATTATGGTAGTCATTCAGTTAGTAATCAGACCTTCGCAATTAGAAGCTACTTGAGGGCCATTAAGAGCACGGCTGCCACTGGAGGCCCCGAATCTGAGGTCCCATGACAGGTCAGCTGTTGGTGACATCACCGCTGCAGGATCATATGTCACAACCTCCGGAGGCCTGACTTCCATGGCGGTGGGCCGGGCCCGATCGGGGGCCCCGTGGGGGGTGCCCAGCCTTTTTTTGTATGGGAACATCTGACCCCACTCAGGATGAACCCCCCCCCCCCTTGCTCGGACTGGAGGAGCCATCAGCTGGGGGAGACGTTTTCAGGGGCCTTCTCAGTGACAGGCGGTCAAAAGAGACCCCGCGCCCTTTGGTGCGCCGCCGGATCTGTGCCAGGCCTGTGCTGGGCAAGGAGGGTCACGCCGGCCAGTTTGTTCAGTGCTGAACAGCTTCGTTCGATATGTTAGAAGCCTTTTGCTTGAACGGGTGTGATCAGCAGAGATATTAGCAGGTCTGTTCAATAGCTTAGTAAAAGAAATCAATACTAAAGGAGGAGGGCTTGTTTTCTTCAGTCAGCATACATTTAGGCTGATCATTTGTAGCAGATTTTTTTATTCTCTTTTTGACTGTACCTACATTCCTTTTATCATCTTAATAATCTCTTAAGAATGGAGAAATTACTGACTGAAATGTGCCTTTAAGAGGACAGCATGACAGTTTTAATTGACACTAAGGTAAAGCTGAGACATTAGCCTAAAAAAACACAATTTAAAACAACATGAAACAACATGGATCTCTTCACCTGACAGTAGGTGGTACACATTTTGATTATATATCTTTTAAACATCCATTCATCATCTAATAAAAACACAAGAAGACACTTGTAAGTATTTCGTGACTGGACTGGGGTCAAGAGATGACCCTGCCACTGGTCTGTATGCCCTGCAGTTTCATGTAAAAAATTAATTTTGTTCATTGTTTCCCAATAAACAGGAACTTTGGTAAGTACTTTGTATCTTTATCACTACATTCAGTGTCATTTATATTTCGTGTGCTACACAATACTTTTTATTATATCTTATTTGGTTTATAATGTTTACATTTTAAAGAATAGCAGTCAAATTATTTTAGAAGTTGGAGTAAATTACCACTTAAAATGCAAATTATTCAGCAGCTATCAGGACTTTGAGGATTATATCAATATTGTATTAATATTAATATTGCATTGTATTATATTAATTAAATGTGTAAGAATGAGTCTGTAACCTGTGCCCTATCCTTCCTGGGATATTCTGGATAGGATTCAGACACAACATAACCCTGTTCTGCATGTTTTGGAAGATGGATGGACCATTACTTAATTATAAACAAACAAACAAACAAAAATGAATCATTTTAGCACGGCGTTTTAAGGCGGAACAGCCAGTAAAGACGTACCTTCTTGTGTTCTTAAGGCGCCATCTACAGGCAGAACCAAGTAATACCTCATGAAATTTTACTTTTTACCCTCATCCAAGATTTAGTAATGCAACGGCATCTCTTATTCTAAAAGCGGTCAAAGGGCAGATATAATTAAATCAACACATTGTGGGAAACTAAGAAAAAACTGTGCATGTCAGCCTGCAAACCCTTACATAATTCACTCTAACGCCTTATTCGGACGGGATTAGTTTTACCTGGTGACAAAACATAATTGAAGCAATTACGGACGAAATCCGTATTTTTAATCCAGTCTTAATATAGCTAAAGAATCTATATAACATGGGATGTGTTGGTAGTTAAAGAGACGATTACAACGTTGACTTATTATAATTAGTGTTTCTGAATATAATTTATCCTCCCTATAGGCTATGTCTGCAAGAATTAATTGCACTGTTAGAACCATTAAATTGTAACTTCTTTGGCTTCTCGAGAATGTTTATCTAGACAAGCAAGGTGGCGCAGAGGCTTGATCCTGAGGATTTTTCAGGTGACTGAAGTGCGACATTATCGTCACAGTGACTCACGTCCTCGCTGTTCGGCACGTGCCACCATGATACCTTTACCCAGGTATCTTGTTGTACATGCTCCAAGCTACAGTCACCCTAATGGTGATATCCAACACTTAGAACTATTTCTGAGGCTTATGTGTAATTGTGGGTACCGCTGTTAGGGAATGCCTCGTACTTCTGTACTCAATGATTAACAATCCGGTAAAACAGGATGACGTCGTAATTCACGTTGTAGCTGTGTACTTTTCGTCCCTTACCCAAAAGGCACACAAGTCTACACGACAGATTCCAATTTCATAAGTGCATTTTTAATCTTAATTTTCAAAATGAATGTTAACCATCCACATCCACAAATAACTATCCCTGATCCACCAATATTCATGTCCAGTACAGGTTCATGGGGGCACCCGTCTTAGAAAACTCAAGGGGCACTGCAGGAGACTCCCTGGATGGGATGGTAGACCTGGCTCATCAGAAGCCGGGTATGATAGAAAACCTACTGGACGGTAGCTGTCCAGGAGCGGAGTTGGACACCCCTGCTCTAGGTGATAGATAAAGCAAATACTCTCCTGGGATTGCTGTCTGTCATTTAAATCACCGATTTTCTGATGAAAATCCCAGTTCAGTTTCCCGTAGGCAACCAGTTCCAAAGTAATAATTCGCTTTATACCAATCTAAGTACACAACATATTAATATAATGCAACTACAAAAAAAACTACAATTTAATTAGGGTTTATTTATAAACCTATGTATTTGTCTACTTGATATGAACCGGGTTGTAATTGCCTTCATTTAGGAAAACTCCCAAAAGCCGCACAAGAAAGCCGGATGTTTTATTGTTAACATATAGCGGAGTAATGTTTAATTGCACCAGGAAGCACAAATCGATTACTTAATAAGATCTCGCTGAACTTTATGGGAAGTGAAGTTCTACACAGTCAACAGTGAATACGAAAACATTCAACGGTAGACTTCACAGCACAAGAAATGTACCTCTGTGAAACGTCATGAAAAAAACGTTGACACCTGCAATTGTACAGATGAGCATTAAACTCCAAACATATTTATTGTTCTGTGTTTCGTCTACCTCTATAACTGTAACTGACCTTCGACAATTTAGTGTGCTGTTAATAAAGTTTTTTTCAATTCGATGCTTAAGCGCGAGCACAACGCGCATGCGTAGAACACGTACTCCGATTTGCGGGGTTCGTTTGGCTGTGTCTGGAGGTTTAGACCACCGAGGCTGCCAGGGGGGAGCGAGTAGCTAAGCGGCGGAGACGACGGGGCACCTCAGCGCCGCCTCGAAATGGGGCAACAGTTCCAGTATGATGACAGTGGCAACACGTTCTTCTACTTTCTTACGTCCTTCGTCGGACTTATCGTTATCCCAGCCACCTATTACCTCTGGCCCCGGGATCAGAATGCGGGTAAGGCCTGAGATGAGAGAGCCGTGTGTCTGCGGGGAAGCTAACCAGTATACCGAGCGACCAGCGGCGCTGGCGAACCGGAGGGCCAGAGTTTTTGTGGGCCGAAACTTTGCTGCGCGTATGCTGCTGTTTTTGGGATTGTCGCTAAACAATTTAGGAGAATATTCAGCGGAAAATGTAAAGACTGACAGGTGCTTTTTGGGGGGCTGGTGCGTGAGGGCTCCCTGGGATGGCATTAGCTGCTAACTCTGGTAGTCACCCTCTGTGTACGTCGATGTCCTGATTACTGCTGCATTATCTTCGAAATTGGAGTGATAAACGTGCGGTAAGAGTTTTAAAAGTACCTTCTGCTTAGCTTTCTAGTTGCACGCCACGGGTGCCCCGGCGGCTGAAGCCCTATAGCCCTCACAGCTTGCAGCATCGCGGCGGGGCAACGCCGGGTGACTGACGCCAGGTCTTACAGAGCAGAAAGCCGTGCGGCTGCACATCGGGGAGGTTTTCTGTGTTACTGACATACCTGAGGTATCACGCGGCTGAGTATTTGTTCAGCATCCACTAAGTAGCCGGTTAAATCTGACAGGCTGCCTAAAACGTGCCATCCTTTCGTTTTATCTCAGCATTGAGTAAACTTTTGAAGTTATTGGCAGGCAGTGATGGTTAGAATTTGGCGTTTAGTTGTTTCGCCATGCACGGTGAGTCTCATAATTGGCAGTTAGGGAGATTTGAAAACCACGAAAAAGTTACTAACAATGTAACGTTCTGTGAAGTGGTTGGTTACTTGATTTGTGGTCAAGGTACAAGTGGCTAGTTTCAGTATTCTTGAAGAATCAAAAAAGTGTCAGTTGTAAAGCAAAGCAAAGATGGGTGTGAAAGAATGCGGATTGGTGCTGAACTTGGCCCACTGTACAACTGGTGGCTTCCTTATTTAATCGGAGCTGGAGATTGCAGCGTCCTCAAATATGAGCCGTGGCCTGAAATCATTTACAACCTCACAAAACACCGGTGATTTTTGTTAAGTTAAACTAGAGACTGTGTGGAATGAGCCTTTTGCCAAACTTGTCGTAGTGAATCTTTTTTATGTTGTAGTATATATTGCGTTGTTGCAACTTTTATTATGTTGAACTTGAAATTTTATCCATTCTGGGATGATGGTCATATTTTAGTTCCGGCTCCAGGTCGGAGTCAGTTTACAAGTCGTAAGTTGCAGAGTATTGTGCCGGGTAATGCACCATTGTTTCAGGCCAAGGGTACTGCATTGATTTAATTTAAGTTTAAAATGGGTAGAAATAATCTATGGACATTGATAGGGTTGTAATAGATGGTTGGATTTATCAGAAATTGATTTGCTTGTGGTTATTTCCCCACATCGAAATTCAGATTGTTTCTTGACGTCCATTGTTTCTTAAACTTGTTTGTTCTAGAGTGGCAGACTGTCAAAAATAAACAAAGGACTAAAATTATATTTTACACTTGGAAAATCTTCACCACCTCAGGACATTCTATTCAGGTCCTTGTAAGTAATATTGGGTCTAGTCACCAAAATAAAATGTGATTTCTCTGCTTTGTCTAGTTCCAAAAATGAATTGTATACAACTTGGAATATAGAATTGCTTTTTATATTTCTGCAACGTTTTCGCTTTGTGACCTGGTTGATGTGCCGCACCATCTTTGCAAGCCGCCAGTGTAAGCTATAATGAGGCCCCTGTTTGTCAAAAACGAAGGACATTGACCTGGGAACTGGATGAATGCGACTGTGTTTGGACCACCTGGTGGGATTTGATGGCACAGTAAAGACTGATGCATTGTATCTCCAGGACGGAATAATTAACCAGTAAGTCACACCCGAAAATGGCTTCCAGCTACTGGTAGTATTTATTTTCCACCTGAAGAAACAAAGCAATATATTCTCTCCCGATTCCTTTTAAATAATGAAATGGGCACTGCAGAAAGCCGCAGGCTTTGCAATCATCCTTGGGTTCTATATGCACCCCAGCAGTGCAGGTCATTTCTGTAAGCCATGTAGGTTCTGTGAAGCCCTGGTGACTCCCTGTGGAAGTTTCTGGCTCCAAGCACTTTGTTTGGGAAGTGAGTCATTCCTTGATGATTTTCATCTTGTAATGGAGCCGTCAAGTACACCTGTACTAGGTTTGTTTGTCCTGACTCCCTGTTCCATGCCTCATGGCCGAGTCTGTGCACCCAGGAAAGAATTGAAGAGTGTCAGCAGCACTCACTGGAGAAGGTCAGCCAGTCACAGGCAGGAGAATGTGAACTGTTTATTTAAGATTAGGTTTATTGTCAATACAACAATATTTCAATACACTGTATACTGTGTATGTCATTCCACACAGATCCCTCATGGTGCATTATAAAGATAAAAAATATACCAAAAAAATATAAAACAGAAATTTCACATAAATAAATCTAACTACATTTTTAAGAATAGAAACTAGTTCTATCTATCTGTGTACAGTAAACAGGACAGAGACATTACGTGAACCAAATTTAAAATGCTTAAATCCATCCCTCTTCTAGCCGGCTATCCTGGACAGGGTTGTAGGGGGACCTAGAGTCAGTCACAGGGAGAATGGGGTACAATGTCAGCCCATACCAAGGGCCATTTAGAAACAGCAGTGAGAATACCTGCAGAATAACTCCACACACAGAGCAGTGGTGGCTTTGAAACACCCATCCCTGGAGGTGTGAGACAGCAGTGAGAATACCTGCAGAATAACTCCACACACAGAGCAGTGATGGCTTTGAAACTCCCATCCCTGAAGGTGTGAGGCAGCAGTGAGAATACCTGCAGAATAACTCCACACACAGAGCAGTGGTGGCTTTGAAACTCCCATCCCTGGAGGTGTGAGGCAGCAGTGCCACGCGCCTAAAGGTGGCCGTATACTTCAAACGACGTCTGCACAGAATGTTTGCTCCAATCTGTTCAATTTCAATCTGTCGCCTACTTAAAACGCGGCCGCCACCTTGTTATGTCACACCCACTACCTTATGGGCAGAGGATGTTTTTGATGCAGCCGACCCACATACCAAGGGCAAACAAACACATTGTAGGGAGTGCGAGTCATTTTATAAAGGAGACAATAGCTCTTTTAAAATGGAAGTTGCTCTCTCTCTTAACAGCCACTGTTAATTTAATGGTAGCAGCAGCACAGACAGGGAACACAACGATTTACACGACATTCACGGTTGCACGCTAACAACATACACCTTCTACGGCAAAATTAGCTACATCATTTACTGTCAACATAAATACGCACATTAATTTGCACTGTTTACAGTTGCGTGTGCAGTGTGGTCCAAAGCATGCCGCCAGCTGCATAATTGGTCCTGCTGACCAACCTTGTGATGTCACATTTATGTCAGCCAATTGTGGACAGCAGGTTGGATTAGAACAAACGAAAGTTTCTCAGGGGGCCCTACACAGACGGTGCACCGAAACGGTGATCATCACAATTCATACGATGACGTATCGCCAAGATAACATCGATTCCATCGGTTTTTTTTCCTTCTCTAGAACGATACGGTCGCCTTTACTACGCTGAGTCAGACTAATATGGTTGAGTCCGTACAGTATAATGTCTGGTTATTGTTAATGAGTAACAATGGAGTAGTTCGGATGGCAGTGTGATTGGAGTGTTTGTGTGATGAACTGAAATGTTTGTTGGTTCCCTCATACTGCCAGTGACCACAGGACTGTGAGGAATGCCCACTTCAATGTCAGGCTAATAAGGTCGAGAAGCAGCCCCTAGATCCCTCAAAAAGATCTGTCCCTCAATGTACTGCTTCCCTCTTTGTCCCTTTTTCGCCACGTGGTTGTTTGTTTGAGTCACGTAGATCATGTCAAGATGGTCTTGCCGCTGTGGTTTATACTCCACAATTATTTAAATTTAATTTTATTTGGTGCTGCACTGGTTCTCCAAGCTATCCAGGGATTTGTTTACACCTTCACTCTGTACAGTATTGTACATTCAACCCTTATTTTCTCTAGCAGTTACATTTTTTTTTTTTGGATTTTATTTTGAACTTTGAGCCTGAATATATCATGCTGTATCTATGCTGTCTTGACACCTGTCAAGTGGATTGGTGATGGAGGTGAAATGATTACTGTATGGGAAGTACCTTGACAACGAAAACCCGTTTTACTGTCGTCAAGTCTTGCTTGGCTTGGATTGGTGTCAAACTCTATGTGTAGCAGAGCAGAACTGACAGCAGTAGTTTTATGCATATTTTTCCAACACGGTGGATTCTGACCCAAGTTCTTATCAGAGAGATGCTTCGTTCCGTATTTTTTTGCGCGCTTTCTGATAAATGTTTCCAAGTTAGTCCTGGGGGATTTAAGCAGCGTTCTGTCTGATTGTCTGTCTGAGCAGCTGAGAATCTCTTGACGGCTGCTATTTGTGGAATGGGTTTGGTGAACTGTAACTCAGCATGCATGAGGCATCTGTGTAGATTCTTCTCTCCCCCCCTTTTTTTTTTTTTGTCCCCTCATCTTGCTCTGCATTTCGACAGCTCCAACAGCGCTGCAGCGTCGTTGCCATAGAGACCAGGCATGGGTTCACACGCGTTAATAGCCGAACATGCGCTGTGCGGCCGCCTGCACACCATTCTGGGTTGGCACAGGGTGCCGATGAGACGAGTTGTAGCATTTGAGAGAAGATTTTGCGGCACCGAGGGGGTGATTTGAAGTCTCTGAATCACATTATTGAGTGGAGTTATGATGCAGTCACTGACTGTTGGAAGCCAATAGTTGCCAACTTCAAAAAATCCTTAGAAGTTAACTCTCTTTTTTTTTAAATTTTTTTTTATAGCACGCTGTTACTTGACTAGGTCAACATAAGTAAAGGTTGGGTAGAAATGGGGTGGCATCATGTTCGCTCAGCTAATACAGAGTTGTTGTATTTTTATTTCACAAGAACCCTAGCATAAGTATGTTTGAAAGTGTGGCATTTCAGTTTGTAAATCAGCAAATGGGGAGTCAGCAAATTATTCAGAAATTTGGGGCTTTGGATTTATTTTCTGTGAGTTCCAGACGACCAGCTTTTCTGGCTAAGATGACCTGGTTGACAGTTTGGTAATCGGGGGGGGGGGGTCGTTCTTTGTTTATGAGTGCTCTTCCTGCTGGCTCTGTAAGCTGGAGTCCTAGCCCTTTCCGAATGGTTCTGTTCCCAAGCGAGCAGAACCTAGGCAGACCAGAGCTCCTCATCTGGCTGCCGTCCATGTGAGCCCCGCGGTCAAATCTTGCCCAACACGGGAGATGTGAAACTTTGGTGGCCAGCGGCAGCGTTCCCGCGCCTGGCCCCGAGGCGTCCCAGAGAAGCCACGGCCCTTGCGAACAGCAGCACTCATTTCCCATCTTCTGTTCCATTTCTCCAGAGCAACTGCGTTTGAAGTCCCTGAGGAGGGTGCATGGAAGATGCCTCTGGTATCGCTTGCGGTTGATAAAATCGCAACAGAGCATCATTCCCCTGTTAAAGTAAGTCTCTCATTTTTCACGTTAAATGTGTGATGTTATTTTTCCCTATTGTGGAGTGATTTGGAGGGGGGGGGGGTAGCAGGTACTGTAATGGTTAAGACTCCCCTGCTTACCTTAAGCTCCACAACTGAACTGACTGTGCTGTCTGAGTCTTTTGATCTGACGCAACTTAAAGGAAAAAAAAATACACTCGGTTGCAATGTTTAAGCTTTGCTGGCTGTGGAATGGAAACAATTCAAGTTGTTCTGCTGTCTCTGCATGCAGCGGTGGGGCCCCCAAGGCTTGGGCCCTGTTGGCCAGAAATATTCATTACACTAGTGGTGTAGGAGGCCCCAAAGTAACTCTTTGAGTAGGCTCCCAGAAACGACAAACCTACCCCTGTCTGCATGTCGGACTGTTTCACATCTCGCAGCTCACAATCTCCTGGCTTCCCCTCATTCCTGTTCCTCTCAGTCCTCCATGTGTCTTATTCCTGCCTGTTCATGGCTTATTTGCTCATAAGATTTTGGCTGTTCAGAAAATGTGCATCGCTGGAGTGAGCAGGTTACTGTTCACTTTGCTCGCCTATGTGGCACCAAGCCTCCGCCGGACGTGTAGCTGAAGCTGCACTTTCGACGCTTGTTTATCAACACGGCACCTGCTGTCCGTAAGTTGCATGAATATTTGGGAGGCCTTTGGTCTGAAATGTGAAAGGACAGAACTTTCTGTCCCCTCCATTTTGTTGCAAATCCATTTAGGCGTTTAATGAATACACGAAGGCACTTTTTGGGAAATCAATAATTTCTCCTCCTTGCCCCAGCACGCAGGGAGGTGAGCTGGTTGCCATGGCGATGTTTTCTACGCAGTGTGGCTTTTCAGCTTGCGGACTGCCTTCCCATACGGGGGAATGTTAATCGAGACTGTCGTTCTTAAGACGGCATGTTAAGGAAATGAGCCTCAGTCTTCAGCAGGCTGCTTGTCTGCTCCTTTCTTTGGCTAATCACTGGTTTTTGGTGGATTTTCAGCTGTCAGCCTTAGCTCAGTCCACACCTCTCTTGACACGTGCCACTGCGGTCCAACGAGCTATAGAGCGCTCAAGGTGTTGCCCTCCATCCCTCCCAGCTGACCACTTAAGCACTCTGCTCTAAGTATTAATTAAACCGGAGCCTTCTGAGGCTCGTTGAAGACTAGCTGCAAGCATGTGCCTCATGTTGCCTGCATGTGCCTCAGCTGCCAGAGTCCAGACTGGATTCAGGAAGGCAATAAGGAACAGTCCTGTGTCAGTCAATGAAAGTTCATTAGACTGGGTGGAGGATTGAGTTTTAAACTTGGACCATGTAACAAGAAACATTTCAGTCTCTGAGCTTTCATCCTTGTCTTCAATGTCTTAGCCTTGCGCTTCAAAATCAAATGTTTTTTTTTTCCCCTCTCACAGAAAAGCTGCCTTGCTCTTTGGATGGGCAGTGTTTCTCTTCCTTGCCTACAAGGTTTCAAAACTAGACAGGGAGTACCAAGAATACAATCCATACGAGGTTCTCAATTTAGATCCGGTAAGCCCTTCTGCACAGCCGAGTCTCGTTGCATGGCCTTCGTGTTTGTTTATGTTGAGGACGGGGTTCGGCAGCAGGCTTCCTGTTGTTTTCGGGGGTTGATGCTATTGTGACATTGATAATTAAAATGATTTATGGATAATGAATATATGACGGACAGCATTTTTGTCCTCCTGCTCGATTGTAGGGTGCGTCCATGACGGAGATCAAGAAACAGTACCGTCTGCTGTCTCTGAAGTACCACCCCGACAAAGGAGGGGATGAGGCCACGTTCATGAAGATCTCCAAGGCCTACTCGGCGTAAGAGGGCTTTGGCCAGCCGGATCTCACTACCTTGGAGCTTCTAATGGGTCCTTGTTCTTACTGAATGCCATGCTCATGTGTGTTCGCAGATTAACTGATGAGGAATCTCGCCGAAATTGGGAGACTTATGGCAACCCAGATGGCCCGAGAGGTAGGATGACATTAGCTGGGTAGTCAGTGGAACTGAGGATGTCTCGCAGTGTTTAATTGCTCTTTTAGCTTTGTATCCTCCTTTTTTAATTTACTCCTTTACTTTAAAAGGGTCATCCGGTCTTCTAGTGGCTAACAAACACCTGTAATAGCAGTCGTCTGATTGGGCCTGTGCTTGGATGCAGAATAATATCATGGAGGGATTCCATTTAAGGACAATCAGCAAAATTCATATTCAAATTAATGTTGATGTCATTAAACTTAGGGCAGCACAGTGGTGCAGTGGTTAGCACTGTCACCTCACACCTTAAAACTCTTAACATGTAACACTTCTAAAAGTCTTTATAACATAAAGGTTGCCCATTATATTGGCAAGTACCGCAGAAAATTCAAGACTAATGTTTCACTTCTCAAATGAAAGATGTGCTTGATGTTATGACCTGTGATTATGGTTTACCATAACATAAATCAAATTGGTTGCAAGAGTTGTCATTTTGATGCACAATATTTTTTCAGTAACGTCTAAATTCATATTTAAACGTGCAGCTCACTGGTTTAATACACTTTGTTGTTCTCTCAGGAGACTGAAACTGAAGTCCGTTTATACCAGCCGGTTATAATTTATGGCAGTAACATCTGCCAAATCCCTAAATGCTCCTAAATACTGAGTCTTAAGCAACACTGGTGTAAAATGAGCTTAAATCGTTGACAATTTGAACACATGTAATCCTTAGCGCTGCTATGATAGAGCAGTAAATGAGCAACGACAGTGTTTTTTGTGAATCATGGTTAAAATTAATATAGAATTCGTAACCATGACCACCGTTTTGACTGGAGCGAAACTGAGTCCGCAAACATGGTGTGTGTGTCTGTCGCCCATGCAGCCACGAGCTTTGGCATCGCGCTGCCCGCTTGGATCGTGGACCAGAAAAACTCCATGCTGGTATGTTCCTCTGTGCGCTATTGAAGAGGATGCTAACTTTTTGGGCTGCGTACCCTTGCTGGGCGCTGGCAGGATAACTGACTGACAAGTGCATGGGCACCCAGCTGCTACCTATTCTCTAAATAGAAATGATGTTTTTAATTATGTGCTTAAGTTTGGAGAGCTAAAACTCTGCGGTGGCTCATCGTTGTGCTGGGTCCAGAGTTTTTTCCACGTGCGTTTCAGAGGCGACGGCAGCAAGCAGAGTCAAGCGAATGAGCCTCCGCTGGTCTTTTTTGTGTGTTTTCCCAGGTGCTGCTTGTCTATGGCTTGGCCTTCATGGTCATCCTACCCGTTGTGGTGGTACGTTACCTTTCACTTCTGCTTCCGATATGGAAAGGCTGTCCGCAGCTACAGTGACGTTTTAACTGCCGGTTTAAAACTTCCGAGGTGGTTTAATGTCAGGGTTGTGAACCTGTACCCGTAGTTACCTGTGGCAGTGATGTCCTGCCTGTTTTGTTTTTAATCTGATCTTCAGGGAACTTGGTGGTATCGATCCATACGGTACAGCGGCGATCAGATCCTCATCAACACCACTCAGCTCTTCATGCATTTTATGTACAAAACTCCCAATATGAACATGAAGAGTATGTATCCTCTGCCTTCCTGAGGTCTTGTTTAAGGAAGATTTCATAGCTGTGATTGGTGTCTCAGGTCAAGTGATCTATTTGGTCACATGGGCAGTCTCCTCCTCTCGTCCTAGGACTGACGATGGTGTTGACGGCCGCTTTTGAGTTCGACCCGCGCAGCAACAAGGAGGCCACGATCAGACCCACAGACAACATAGAAGTGCCACAGGTATGGAGAGCATGTCTTCAGCAATCCCGTGTTACCTTGTCCCGTGATCTTGCCGGCCTTTGATCACTGCACACTCGTCCTCAAAGCTGATCCGTGAGCTGGGCAACATCAACGTGAAGAAGAAGGAGCCGCCGTTCTGCTACCCGTACAGCCTGAAGGCCCGTGTGCTGCTGCTGTCACACCTCGCGCGCATGGAGGTTTCCGAGGACATCGAGGAAGGCGAGTCTGGTTCCTCTGCTCAAGTCTTTCTTTTTATCGTGACTCTTCCCCTGAGTCAATGCACTCAAGCTGTTGGTCTGAGAGCTCCCTGGATGTCTGACCGACCCTGCTTCCATTTCATCCAATCAGATCGACGATTTGTGGTGAGAAAGAGCCCAGCGCTGCTCCAGGAGATGGTGAACGTGGGCTGTCAACTCACCATGATGGCTAACAGCCGTGGAGGTGAGCCCCGCCCCCCCCGCTGTCTCCACGCCCCCTGAGCCCCGCCCACCCCGCTGTCTCCACGCCCCCTGAGCCCCGCCCACCCCGCTGTCTCCATGCCCCCTGAGCCCCGCCCACCCCGCTGTCTCCACGCCCCCTGAGCCCCGCCCACCCCGCTGTCTCCACGCCCCCTGAGCCCCGCCCACCCCGCTGTCTCCATGCCCCCTGAGCCCCGCCCACCCCGCTGTCTCCACGCCCCCTGAGCCCCGCCCACCCCTCTGCCTCCTTGGCCCCCTGAGCCCCGCCCACCCCACCATCTCTGTGGCCCTCAAACATCTCACTTAGAATTATGGACAACTGGATCATCACCTGTGATACTTAAACTCAGGTTGTTCGATGTGTTCTGGCTTACAGACCCACTGTACAATTACCTGCTACGTTCTAGGTCTAGGTCAGGCCGGAAAGGAACGGGGCTCACGACGCAGTAGTACAGGCAGCAGGCTTGTTTTACAGGTGGTAGTGCACAGGAGGGAGGGGTACCTTCAGGAACAGCCCAGGCCAAGATAACTACACCTCACTCCATAACTATGTACACCGTTTACGACATTCCTTGGTGGTGTTAATCTGCTCTGACTGTCCAAGTCTTTAATTCTGCACCACTTCCAAATTCGTTTTTGTTGGACTTCCTAGTTACCCAGTGTATGTACCCAGTGTATGTACCCAGTGTATGTACCCAGTGTATGTACCCAGTGTATGTACCCAGTGTATGTACCCTGTTCCTTAACTGACTATAGACAAAAACCTCATCATAGTTTTCTGATCATCTAGAACAGGGTTCCCTAATTCCAGTCCTGGAGGGCCAGAATCCAATACGGTTTGCAGATTTCTCTGTCCAAACACACCTACTAAACCTGGTAGTTAGCTGGCAAAGATGTGTTTGAGCAGGGACATCTGCTAACTGTGATGGGTTCTGGTCCCTCAGGGCTGGAACTGGGGAACCCTGAAGAGTCGACCTTGAATGCACTGACCTTAAGTCAGAGAGATTGTGTGTAACTTTTTTCAGTAGTGGCGAGTTCATTTTCTATTATCTGGTTCAGTACTTGCACAACTTCAGTACTTAACTATTTCTGACCCCCCCGCCCCCACCCAGGGTTCCACGCTCCTCGGCTGATATCCATAGAGAACTGCATGAAGCTGAGCCAGATGGTGGTTCAGGGCCTCCAGGAGACCAAGTCACCTCTGCTGCAGCTCCCGCACTTTGAGGAGGAGCATCTCCGCTACTGTATCTCCAAGAAGGTAAATCGGGTTCTCTGCACCTTCGAGTCGAGTCTTTCTGGGCCGTTTTGTCCCGGCCCAAGGCCGTAACCACGCTCCCCCCCCATCGGCCAGTATAAGGTGAGGAGCATCCAAGACCTGGTGAGCCTGAAGGACTCGGATCGCAGGAGCATGCTTCGCTTCCTGGGCGAGGAGAAATACGATGAGGTCATGGGCGTGCTGGGCAGCTTCCCGCACATCACCATGGATACCAAGCTGCAAGGTAGACCTCATGCGCTGGAGTTTCTATCCTTATAGCAGTGTTTCCGATCTGCTCCTCAGGGGACCCACAGACGGTCCATGTTTTTGTTCCCTGCTGCATTCATTCAAACCCTTTCACATGATTAACCTAAATCAGAGTAGATGTTTGGAGACCATCTACATTTTTTTTCTTCCCCCAGTGCTTGATGACGAAGACAGCAATAACATCACAGCTGGGTCCATAGTAACAGTCACTGTAACACTGACCAGGAAAAGAATGGCGGTAAGCTGGTGTAATATGAGCGTGTGCAGCGATTTTGACATTACTGGTTAGCCTTCAGTCAACCTCAACATGCTTCCTCAACAAGGAAGTGCCTTACAGCTTGTGGGTCTCTGTACATGCAGCTGCAGATATGCCCACTAGAGGGCGATAGCTCTTTGCAAAACCATGCTCTGAAGGTCAAACCACTTAGCCTCCTGGTCATGTTTTTAGGCATGTGCGGAAGTGTTGTGCATACTTCCAGCACTAATCAGTTTTAAAGCAGAACTATGATTCACAAGTCTTTTCTAGACAGATCAGGTGGTTATCTGAAGTAAATTTTAGATCCAGTACCAAGATGGCAAACATAGCTGCATTTAACAATTATCAATTGGAAGATGTAGGAACGCTGTCTTGTTTATAAAGCCTTCCATGATTAGCTCTGTCTATGTATGCCAACACCCTTGTGTCCACACACGGTTTGTTTATGCTAATCCAGATTAATTCACCGCGTCTAGCTACAGTGTTTGACCATATGCCTAAGCGCGGCTTGTATGTGCTAGTGCAGGAAGGCTTTTCCCTTTCAGCTATCTAGCTCTATTGTTAAGGTGTGATGTCTTGTGAAGGCAAGGGCCACGAATCGCAGGAGCCCGTCGTGCTCGTTTATAGCTCAGGATCCTTCGCACCTGCAGCTGTCTGCACGCACGACGGGCTCCTGCGATTCGTAGCCCTCAAGTCTTCCTCTCCAGCCAAAGGCTAATGAGTTCTCAGGCTCCTGCTCTTTCTTTTCCATTTCCGGTGGCAAAAGGAGGTGTTTGAGAAGGAGCAGGATCCACAATGCACCGGGGAGGAGCAGCCTGCCGAAGAAGTGGTGAGACGCTATCAGATTATTGCGATCATCCTCAGACCCTGCAGGTTATATTTAAACTTTTCTGGCCACTTTGGTCCAGGTGATGCATTCGTTTGCCGTTTTGTTTACCGTTCGTTCACTGATTGATCTGAAAATATCCAAAGCATCTGAAAGGGATTCCCATGCTCCCGTTTCGCCCGGTGTCGTCAAAGCAGGGCGATGCCAGCAAGGCCAAGACTAAGGTTTGGCAGAACAAGAATAAAGGGCCCAAGAAGGCAGCCAAGTCCAAAAAGAAGAAGCTTATAAAGAAGAAGCCCGTCGTACAGCAGACCAAGGCCGAGAAGCAGAAGCAGGCCAACGGGAATGTCGCCGGGAATGTAAGCAGAACTATCAAGTAGTCGCTTATTGTGACGTGTGGCCTTGTGTGAACTGTCGTTACGTTTTATAACTGCTTTTTTGACAATGTCTATTAATAATGTGATTACGAGCTCTCTGCTGTTAGCAGACGGTCAGTAATGTAGCTTAGGAGCGCCACGTGTTGGGTATCTTGTCCCCGTCCCTTAGGAGGCCACGCCCACGCTGAAGGAGGACGAGGATAACGCCTCTGATAGAGGCAGCGAGTCGGACGAAGCCGAAGCCAGCAAGGACACTCCCAGCGAGCGGGACGAGGAGAGCGACAAGCAGAGTGACACAGAGGTGGATGAGATGGCCGCCGATGATGAGGAGGTGAGAGCGGGTCGCTGGCGAGGGGTGGACCTGCCTGGCAGTCCTCGCACAGAGCACGCCTCTCACCGACGGCCATATCTCTGCAGGAATGGAAAGCTTTGCAGCAAAGCATCCAGCGCAGAGACCGGGCTCTTCTGGAAACCAAGTCCAAGATCACGCATCCCGTGTACAGCCTGTACTTCCCTGAGGTGGGCTGGCGTACAGCCTGAGCTGGGAGGGGGAAGTGTCACGTGGGGAGTGGTAATACTGTGATGGCAATTCTGTGCCCCCCCCCCCCCCCCCCCGCCCCCGCGCTTGCAGGAGAAGCAAGAGTGGTGGTGGCTGTACATCGCGGACAGGAAGGACCAGACGCTGGTGTCCATGCCCTACCATGTCTGCACACTCAAAGACAGCGAGGAGGTCAGTCCACTTCATCTCATTGGCCAGAACGTAGAGGACAGAGACCCTTTGCTGGTATTGCATGTCTGCACAGCCCTTAATTTTAAAGTTGAAAGCTGGGGTGGGGAACCTGATCCATGGAGGGCCGGTGCAGGTTTTTGGGATGACCTCTCAATCAGCCAGTAATAAAGCAGTGGTTCCCAACTCCAGTCCTGAGGACCCACTGTTACTGGCTGAGAGATCATCCCAGAAACCTGCCCCCGCACACCAGCTCTCCATGGAACAGGTTCCCCACCCCTTGTTTAAAAGTGCATCCGCCCTTTAATTTCTCCGTCTACAGAAGCATGTTGCCTGTATGTTGTCAGGACACGTGTCCATACGAGGAAGCCTGCATACCTGGTGATTCCCCCATCTCCCCATCTGAGTTTAGTGTGTCTGTACTAGACGGGGGAGAAGAGGCGAGACGGCTTTCCTCTTCTGTGGCACCCTTCCATAATTAGTTGCTAGGCAACCCCCGAGTTGCTGCGTAAAACTCTTAAAGGGGCGGCTGGCCTTCGGCGCAGATTTGTTTTGATTGCCACTCCAGCCTCGACCCGCGATTGGCGGCCCATGCGGGTGCACGCCGGCACCCTGACGCCGCACCATCCTTCAGCTTTCATCCACAGCGGCGCTTCAGCAAATAAACAGTTTAAATTGTCCACAGCCGTTGCCATTAAAAGGGGGGAATGCACAGCTAGGAGAGTAGTGTCTCGAGGGTAAATTGCGGTTGCAGCTAATTGGCAATAAACCATCAGTAGCAGTAATCTGTTATTTTGAATGTGGATGCGCACTGACATGCTGCTCTAATTGAATCTGTAACGGACGTCGTTTTGGAGACAGCAATGCAATCGCTGGCTTTTCTTTTTTTATTGTTGAGTCCTCACATTTTCTCTTGGATAAGGCAGTCTGTCTGTCTAAGGGTCTGGGGGAGCAGGACCCAGAGGGGTTTTGAAGCTGTGCTCAACAGTCCTGAGCTCCAGTGGCTAATTAGCTAAAGCTCGCTTTATGTGGATCAGTGGGAAATTTGCTGGTTTATGATGTTTAAGAAGTGATGTGTAGCCTTTCTTTTTTTTTTTTTTCCCTCCATTGATTGATTGGGGTTCAGTATTTATGTAGCTCTGCATTCTTATCGGGTAAATATGTGTTTGATGACTTAGCATTTTAGTATAGTACAGCAGTATTTTATTAATTTGCTAAATCTGCAATAATGCTATAGGTTAACCTGCATGTTGACTGTTGCTTTTCTTTAATACAGGTGGAACTGAAATTCCCAGCCCCATCGAAAACTGGGAACTATCAGTATTCTGTAATTCTGCGATCAGATTCCTACCTGGGCTTGGATCAGATAAAGCCGTTGAAGGCAAGTAGTTGAATCCATGTAAACCGTTTGCTCGTAAATGGTGCGGTCTGTGATTTACTGGTGTGGTCACATGATCTTCTGTCGTCATGGTGATGCAGCTGGAGGTCCTAGAGGCAAAACAGGTACTGGACAACCACCCGCAGTGGGACATCCCGGAGACGGAGGAGGAAGAGGAGGACCAGGAGGACAGCGATGGCATCGAGGAGAGCGAGGACGAGGAGGAGGACAACGACTAGCTTCCAGCATCATGGATTCACACTTCTCCACCACCACCCCCTGGCAGCCACTGAGGAGAAACCAACTGGTTTTCAGAGGTCCAGACTGACCTCTCCCACCTATTCTGTTTTTTTTATAAAATAAAAAAGTGAAACGTTTTAAAATCCAGGCCACAGTTGGTCTGAAAGTCTTGCTTATTAGTTTTGTCAGGAGCTTTAGGGTGCGACACTATTGCAGAATCCCCCCCCCCCCTTACCTCTGAGACACGGTGGGGAGAACGCATGACTTGTGGGTCTTCTGTGTGAGCAATAAAGAGCCCCCCTCCATCTCAACACAAAAAAAAACCTGGAAACTAAAACTCAAGACTCATGTGACACTATTTAAGTTATAGCTTTTTGTGCAGGGTAAGTCCGTTAATCCTGGGGGGGAAAATAGCTAATCACCAAAAAGACGCCCGAGTAAAATGAGCCCTGTCAACTGTAGGCGTGCACTGGATGTTGACTTTTTTTTTTTTTTTGCTGTCAGCTCCTCTGTTGCGTTTGCAGTCCTTGGGGCGGTTGGGCTGTAATTTGAAGCTGACTCCCTCAGCCTTGTAAAGTCTTAGTCCAGCAAGGCTGTGTTCGGTGAAGATTTACAGACAACAACTGGTTGCTCTTATTTTTGATGTAACGTGTCCCCAGTTACTGGCCCTAGTGAAACATCGAGATTAAATATGCCGTCATTCCTGTTGGTGGATTTGACTTTGGGTTCTGGGTCAAGCCAACATGGTCCTCATTCAGGCCCAGCGGTATAGCGATTCAAAGGGGTGATTGAATTTGCGGTTTCATAAGTAGTATTTGTATGATTTCCTCAAATAAATTGGGAATTTTTATGTTTAAAAGTTGCTTTTTTGAGTAATTATGCTGAAGCGGTGTTGTCGGCTGCCTAGCTGTTGCCACGCCGTGTTTTTGAGAGGTGTGTCTGTGTGTACTGATACATTCCTATTGGCCCTTTTCAGCTGAAGCGCCTTATAAAATTACAGAATCTCAAAATGACACTGATGTAATCTCTTCCCATATTAGTTTTATTTTTCTTTTTCCTCCTTAAAATCTGAATTATTTGGTCTCTGAAGTAAATATCTGGTGATTGTTGCCCATGCGGTAGACATAGTTGGTACCCCCAAGGATGCAGAGAGGAATGACCCACTAAACCTCACCGTAAGATGATTAGAGGTATGGAGAAGGCCCCAGGAGGATAAAGTATGGTGGTTGGTGTACAGTATGCTGGGGAGGTTTTGCAGGAGACTGAAGTCACCCCCCCTCCCCCATATGCAGCTTCATATGCAAGGCTTCTCCAATAATGTAGACCCCCCCCCCCCCCGCCTTGGCTTCTTGGAACATTCTTCAGATCCAAGCGGCCTATGGGAATGGAGGTAGTCTGACAAGGGTTACATTTCCACCCTATAAGAGTAAAAAGGAATTATGGGTGTGTTTGTCAACAGCTTCCAGCTGCCTCACCTGACTAATGGAAATTTGCTATTCAAAGTGATTGATTGGATGTTGTTGGGGAAAAAAAAGTATACCTAGTTGTGTGCTGTTTATAATGTTTTTAAAACGAACTGTACATTGTTTCCCTATAGATCAAGCTGACCATGTATGTATTTTCTATTTAGAAAATACTAAACTTTTGTAGTGATAATAAGGATAGTTCTTTTTATTTAGACTAAAATTGTGCTTTTGGGTGAAAAGGTTCTAGAAAGGCTGCATGTTCTATTCAGCAAGAACCAAACTGTACATCAAATTTGAAACAGGACCAGCATCTAGAATATTATACTCAAGTATTATTGATCTACGGAAGTGTAGCCTTAGTTGACACGCTGTTTAAACCGCAGTACATTCAATATATCATCTATATAAATACAATCTTTAAATCCTCACTGGCCAAATAGAAGAAAAAAAAACAAATACCCGATATTAGTATTTGCAACATTTTGTTTACAAGAAACTGTCATTGTAAATTGAAAATATATTATTTGTATTTAAATCATTTCAAATAAAATAATACCTTTTAAATTTGATTTTTTTAAAACTTATTTCCCAAAGTGTCTCTAACCGGTATGAAACAACATGAAAGCTTATCGGAGAATACAAAAAGAATAAATCTCCTTGCCATTGTTTCTTATGCTTTTGGTTAATTTTGGAAAGTCCTTAAAACTCCTTATTCTGTAAGGCTTTTCCACATGTCGTGCTTACCCAGTGGTTTACCCGTCACCATCGCCCTAGGCGGCGCCGTACGTCCGGCGTTTCCGACGTGAATCCTTCTACATCTGCATGGTTACTACACAATTGTTCACCAATATTAATCTTAGATCGTTCATTTCGCTTTTCATTGTCGTAAATACAAGTAAATATATCGGACACGCGGTCGGAAGATAGATTTTTGTTCTTATATTTTATCTATTTATATGAAATTCAAATTTTGTGCATGACACAGACGAGCTGCAAGCGCATATGTTAAGGATTCGCGATAACATATAGGCCTAAAATGTTAGGGAGTATGTGGTAAACAAATGGTTTTACTTAAACAGTTTCAGTTTTTTTATTATAAAACCAGAGCTGAGCCATTAATGATGTCCAGTTACATCGGCAGGCAATTTAGCCCGTATTACGAAAATGCTCATTTTTGCCATTTATGTAGGCAACGATGGCCACTTTTCGGGGGAAAATCCCCCTAAAGACCACCTGAACTTCTTGACATATTGCTGCCATTGCATCAACACCAATTTCCCTTTTAATTTTTAGAAACCTTACTAAAGTAATCCAATTAGTTCATTATTATTTTAATCTCGGTAGGTTTACTGTGCATCATAATAACACTCTTCCAATAAATTTGTCCCTAATGAAGCTACTGGAAATTGCGGACGAAGAAACTTAATAGACCATGAAAATGTTCAAGGGTACACTGCATATATTTACTCTGAGATCAACTGCTCATTAAAACTACGATTTGTGCATTTTTGCACACATCAATCCCCCGTTTCTTCGAGCCTGTGTCTAAAATATTTCTACATTTTAATAAAGATACGGTGAACTTTTTAAATAAACCTTTTTTAAAAGGCGGCCAGTGCCAAAAAGGACTGAACTAGGCCTAAAGAGGTTCAGTGGCTTTTAACGATATATTTCAGAGGCCGCGCATGTCTGAGCGCGCGTATTAACTTACACAAATGGTTCATATTTCTGAAAGGGATTGTATTTTGGAGATGTGATAACCTAATTAAATCTTATTAATTATTATATATTTTGGTATGGATACATCTGTATAATCGTCTTCCATACGAAACTTAAGACAAATAATTATATAAGGTTTAAATTTCCAGTCTTCCTGTTATCATCTTTATGTGTATTGCTACTAGGCTATATGTCTCAAATTAATCTCTTGTACTGAATGAAACCTGTTGTGTACACGTTGTAGGGCCTATAATCAAAAACAGATTTTTAAAATTGTGTGGGATATTTAACTGTTTAGATGTCTGTGTACCTAATTATAGAACAACGATTGCACTGACTATTCTTCCTACTGATTACCTATATTATAGTAGTATAGTGGGAACGTCACATGAATCTTTTTCCCTGTATATTTTGCGCCGCGAATCTCAGGTTATGAAAAAAAGACGGATTGAAATTTTGTTTTACATTTCAGTTAGGCTGCCACTGCTGAAAGGATTCTGGGAGGTAGAGGAGCCGCAACATTAAAATTTTTAAGGGAAAATTTACAATGAAACATTTCTTATTTTTCCAATGTCTACCTATCGGTCTCCGTCTTGCGGCAGCCACGTAAAAAACTTATGGGATCAGCATTAATAACTATCACGTTCAATGGCGCCACAACATCCACATTCCGCACTGGGAAGCCTAAGCTGTACATTGTTTGTAGGGAAATAGGTTGCACTATTGATCGTCGCTGGTCAGACGCGCTTGTGGCCCCCGCCCTCCTGCCTCCCCCCCGCACACGGCGTTTCTTCTGAGCCACGCAGGTGCGCCGCAAATAGTTTTAGACACTTGGAAAAATCCATGAGTTCATTGATAAGGTATATTTGCATCTCAGGAACATCAAAATGTGAGTGTTTTTTACACCCCTCAAAGCACCGCCGTCTAATTAGCTCCCCCGAGTGCCAGGCAACTTGGAGACACATCCTGTCGCATCTGAACTCCGCTGCATTTCAGCCGGGCCGCTTGTGCTCCGCCGCGGCATCTGCTTTTCGGGGATACGGGCAAAATCGAGCCCGCAGTCCAGCTGCAGCTCCGGGAGATAGACGGGGTCTGCAGGTAAAGGAGCGGAATAATAATAAAAATAGAAGCAATCAAGGAAACGTCTTTTCGCGATCAACCTACCGCGGCACAGGTAATACCTCACATTCAGTCCATGCTTCATCAGTCTTCTGTTCCTAATCTTTTTAATTATTAGCGTCAGGCTGCACAACTTGAGTGCAAAACGCGGCAGTGCAAAGCAGTCATGTTTCAGATCTAAGGCATTAAACCATATTAAGCCGTATTAATTCAGAGCAGATCGTTATTTTTAAATGCATGCGCATTTTGTTCAGGTGCCGTTGCTGGTTCATCCATATAATGTTCATCCAAGCCGAACCTTAGGTTATTTTCTCTCCACACGTCCAGTATAGTCATGCTTTGGGTAAATTCTTTTAACATTATCCTAATGGTCTAAGGCATCCAGGACATGTGTACTTAATCTTGATTAAACGAAGTGCGCTGTTACCCGCACAGTGTCGAGGTATCACTTTCCTTATGCTGTTTACCAGTCACGGATAGATGGGCTCCTTAACGGGGTCGGGTTACGGGCTTAAATAATAATTTGCTGCGATAATATACGGTCCGATCGGACGTGTTATGTAGCCTTGGATCGATTTCATGGTCATGTAACAGTTGGCTCTCAAACATTGCACGATTTCTACTTGGGGTTCTTCTCCTCCTGCGGGATCCTGGCACCACACCTTACTGAGACCCATCGGAATAGCTGCTGCGATTACCTGACACATGTTTTGGGAAACGCCTGCGTCATTTATTCATACATTTATTGTTTTAAACGAGATACGTCGTTTTTAAAAAATCATATCAGTGCAACTTCATTAATTGCTATAGAAGCCTTTAAATCAACGGTAACGTTCCCAAAGACACACTAATCTAAGCCTCAATTTATTATTTTCGACCCGACGGTTTTTTTTTAATTAAGGAGTGATAAGGCAAATAATGTTTTTTTTTCCTTAGCTTGGTTGATATTTGTAATGCCTTAATTGTTTTGTTGATTAAATATAGATGAGGAAAGTGCTTCGCAAACATTTTTTACTGATGGATATGGGCCATTATTCATATGAAAACAAGACAATATGTCTAATGTTCATAACGTTTTATTTTACCTTAGGGAGAAGATTGGGATTAGCTGTCAATATTTTAAAGCGTTTTCATTTATTTTTAATCCATTATGGAGAAGAATGTAGGCCTAACCTATCAAGTAATGATAGGGTAGTACTTAAATGCAGGCTAATTTCTGAGAAGTTAATAGAAGAAAATAAAGGGAGGGTGGTTTTATTATTTTTAAGAATCAGTTGCTGTTCTGAAGGATGCTTTCACCTACACAGTTAAAGCCATAAATAAGACACGTATATTTAGGTTTTCGGTGATCGGTTTTCTGGAATAAACCCCTGTCGTTATCCAAATAAAGGATTATGAAACACGTTACTGAATGTTAAAATGTGTAGTTACTGAATGTGTAGTTTATATGATCTAATAGCCAATGTTAATATTCAGCCGTTATATTACATCGGCCGGGTTGCTAACTTTGGTCAGCTTTCTGGAGTGAGATTTTCAACTCGAGACCAGTCTGCACACACATGCACGTGCATTTACATGTGTGTAACAGTTTTTTTTTTTTACCTTATTAATAGTCTGTAGGGTTTGATGTAGCTAATTTTAGGTTTATAATGGAATATAAAGATTTGCCGAAAGATTTCTTGCGTGAGTCTGAAAGCGTAAGAGTCACGCCAGATGAGAGTTAGCAGCCCTGTTGCCTCCTGCCTCAAAAGTCGAGGGTTCGAATCCCTGCTATGGGTGGGTGTGAGTTTGCGTGTTTCCTGACGTCAAGAAGTTAGGTCAGTTGTTATATGTAAATGGTGTGTGGTTGTGTTTTTATATGCCTTGCTGCCTTTTCTCTTATCTTGTTTTGCTGTAATCCCCCCCCCTCCCTTATTTTTTGCAGTACTCTGTTTCAGTTGTAGTTTTAGTTCTTGCATATATCTGCCTTTTTTTCAGATAAGTTTCTTTGGGCATCCATTTAAACGTCTCGTTTTGGGCGTCCATTTAATCGTGTCGTTTTAGTTTACTCCCCTGAAAATGACCTCTCTTATACATATGCATTTATTTTAGGGAGACTAATATGGTTATATACGATTATGGTTTAATACTCTGATCGTCTCCGTATATTGCAGAAGGATACGGCCATAGCGCTCTCCCCTCCCCTCGCCTGCAATGGCGAGAATGTCTTTCAGTAGCTGCTCTAATGGCGATGCAGCTGTAATAATTGTTATTTATACTCTAACGTTTATTTCCAGTGATGCAAATTTTAAAATCTTATCGTCACAAACGGGTCTCGCTTAGTACAGATACGTTTTTCAGTCTGCATCTAAGCGCGTGACACCCGAGACGCCGATGTGCGCTTTTTGCGGATGTCCGCAGTTTGCGGAATTGAGTTGTTTTTAAAGGAAAGATGGAGGTGATGGATGCGTTGGTTGCATTAGCAAAAAAACTAACCTTACATCGTTTCAAGTAAACGTTAACAGAATAATAGTACTTTTCTGTACATGCTATAATTAAAGACAAAAGAAGATAATATTGCAATGATTGAAATAAGACGTATTGAACATGTGTTGTTTTTTAATATTTAATGTCTCTTTTTCGAGCACAGTTTTTTTCCTTACTAAGAATGCCATCGTTGCATTGCTTTTAGACACTTTGACCCAGGTGATCAATAGGCGTCAGCAATTCCGTGTATCTGACACTGCCTATTTCTAACGCCACCGAGCCCCGTCTCGGATTTCATAGTTATCATCTGGGCACTATGGTTTTCAGTAGCATGTATTGCTGAATACGTTTCTGCTAAGTGTATAGTGTATATAAAAGAATTAATAAAGCTTATTATTCTCACTGTGAACCTTATTGTGGTTAAATCTCTAGAGATAATTCCCATGACTGTTCTCAATATGTTATTATTTGAATTTGAGTTCATTGGTAATAGTGACATTTGAAAGAAAGTAATTTTTATTGTTTTTTTTTTATTCTGCACGTATTTATGTAAATTGGGCTGAAGTGTCGTGTGTTGCATAATACCTGCATGTAATGTCACCATTCCATACTCTATTATGTTTACCGCTACTGGAGAGACGTAAGCATGTCACACGGTGACATGGGAACAGTGACCCCGCTGCAGTGTTTCTCCGATCTGAACTTCTCTGGCTTCAACCTGTGTACCACATTAAATCTATTTTGAAAGGGGCAATCGAAATCACAGCCGATGATGAGTGTTTTAATAATTCAGTAAGTGCTGGTGCATGCAGCGTTTGGGAACACTTTGCCAGAGGTTTTAGGAAATGGCCGCAATACCACAATGCATTGCTGTCTTATCCGAGATTGCTGGTATATTGCCAGACCATTGTAAATGTAGCTTTTTCTTGAATACGTTGATATATTATCAATGAAAGAGACAAAAGATTTAAAAACTATACTGTGTAGATTTTGTCAAAATAAAGTTTTAACTTAAGCAATTTCAGTGCCAAATGAACTGCGTAATGTATAATTCGTCTTTCCAGTGTCCTATTCGGTCAGTTTTTTTTTTTTTTGCATTTCTGTTCTTTTATGCAACCCCTGTTAGTTTAATTTCCTGTATCTTATTCCACTGAATAATGAAAAGTATGTTTTTGAGGACACTGTGACCCTGTATGGGATGAGCCATTATGGTGTATTCATGGACAGATGTTTTTTTGAGGATTTTTTTTCCCTTCAAGGGTTAATCTTGGCTGTGACGTGACAGATCTTGGGACGGAGGTGTGCTATGGGTCCTTTGTGTGTCCTTCGAAGGGGGAACCCAGCACTTTTCAGATTCTGCAGAATCACTTGTCTCCTCTGTCGGTTCCCTAGCCGCTGTCTTCAGCCAGAGTGACTTATGCGGCTTACAGTTTCGCAGTTTTTGTTTATTCAGCTGGATATATTTACTGAAGCTGTTAAGAACCTTTCGATATGGCAGCCGTTCTGTTCCTGGAATTAAAACTGCCAGTCTGGGAATCGCAGTTGTAAGTCCATCTTCATAGCTGCCTGTTGACCTGCTGCCCCCCTATGAAATCCGTGGTCCCCACCTTCCGTGCCTCTCGCTTAAGGAGTGACCCACACGTGCCTTATCCTCTTCAGCTGTGTGTGTGTGTGTGGGGGGGGGGGCTTCCTGGACTTTCTCTGAAGCGAGAACTTTAGCCAGGATCTGTGTCACCCGCCATGTGATTAGAAGGTGAGATTTGGATTCGGAGCCCCTCAGCCAGGGCTCAAATGTGTATTTCCAGCAGAATTGCAAATAAACCGTTTCTGCCCATTTTGGGAAAGGTGGATTCAGGGGCAGCAGGGGAAGGTCTCAATCTATACTCAGGTAATGACACTCTAAACACTTCTGTGTTAATCTCCTGGCTCCAGTGGAAAAAAAAATTGGCCTGACGTGAATTTTAACTAAAATAAATGTTTAATAAATGTAGTGTGGTGTGGCTTTCAGGGTCAGGGCTGTGTGCCTGTGACCGCTAGGTTGCCGGTTTGAATCCCATGGCCGGCGGAGTGATTCCCCAGTTGGGTCCTTGAGCGAGGCCCTTCACCTCAGTTGGTCCAGGGGCTGGTTGGCCCTGCTGTCACAACATTGCTGTGGGTAAATGTCTCTGCTAAATACACAAGAGCTTGTTATCTAGCAAAGCATCTATTTAATAAAAAAAAAACAAAAAAAAAAACAATTGTCCAGTTGGTGACCTGTTCAAGTCTTTTCTTGTGGATGCTGCTGTTGTACCTTTGAGCCAAACATTTAACCCTTTATCTCCCTAAATATGTGGCTCTGTGTTTGAATTGTTTAATATTTGAAAGTGTTATAAGTTAGAGGCAAATAAATAGGGATTAATGATAATTGAATTATAAAAGGCTCTTCTGTGCACTGGCTCCATCGAGTTTTTAAGATAGTTTTGGAATGTGGAATTTTTAATTGTGGGTGCAGTAAATTTGACAGCTTTCTCTGTGCTACATGCCTCTTCCTGATACATCTTCCCATGATGCTGTTAGATTCATCTTGGCATTTTCTTTATGACTCGTTTGCATGCCGATAAGCCCAGCATGTATAATCTCTCAAACAGCACCATGAAATTAGCATGAAAAGCTTCACCTCTTTTTGTAAAAGGCTCCAGATGTTTCAGAGAAGCATGTCAAAATAGGCCCTTTGATACCCAATCATGGTTGGCAGTGATAAATATTTATCATTTTTGCATTCGGTTACTTTAAGCAGTAGGAAAAACTACAGGCATCCATCGATGTTCCATGTTCTTATCCAGTTCAGGATCAGATTGAGTCTGTAACCTATTCAGAGGAACGCAGTCCATCACAGGACTGTCCTCACAATGTAATATATACATAAGTTACACACACACACACACACACACACACACACACACAAGATAACTGTTATTGATTATAGATTATTTCTAAAGCAAGCACTTGTGTCTTTGTGTATAATTTGCGAGTGTCCAGCAGATCGCAGTATTTTTGCAGACTAAATTTTGACGTCCTAATTCTGTCCTGCAGGCATGAAGAGATGTATGAAAATGGCCAGTCCTCATTGACGGAGGAGCCACGTTTGCTGCAGTCTGAGACCCCTGAAACGACACAGTAGGTATTTAACTCGTCGCTTCCTTTAACCGTAGAAAGAATTAGAGGCACCGAGTAAATAAACACGGCGGGTCATTGTCACAGGGCGTTACAGTGTCACGGGGGCTGTTTTTCTCTCTCCCCTTTTTGTTCAGTGCTGTTTGAAGACTTAGCTGTCATTCAAAGCTGTTGCTATGGCAAAGGAGGAGGGACTTCATGGGAGGGTACACGGGGGCACCAGCCCAAGTGCATGTCTAATTGCATCACCCCTGGGGGCCCAGTTCCTGTTAGGGGGTATTACCATGACATCATATGGTGAAAAGGAAAAGCATAAGAAAAAAAACTGACAAGATGCCAAGTGACAATGTTTATAAAAACCTCGGGGTTAAAGATGACTCCGTCCGCCCTCAGGTCAGGGGGACAGCGGCTCCTCTTTCTTGTGGCTGGGAGCAGCGGGAATTTCAGTCCCCGAATGGCCAGGCGGGATGGGGCCTGGCGTTTTCATCTGTGTGAATCTGTATGCATCTAATATGACTGACAGAGCTCACAGTTTTCTGCCATTGTCTGTTTTCATTCGTCGCGGGATGAGCACAGAGGGCCGAAAGCATTTCAAATTCAAATATCTAAAAGCTGAAAATGCATTTCATTTAGCTAACAAGATTCACCCCCTTATCTGAGTACTTCACGGAAAGGGTCGCATTAAAATATAATTTAATAAATCTATATTAATCTAGAGATTAGAATTCATGGGGTATATTTTAATTAAAATGGTGATTAAACATTTTATTTTACAAATATAGAATGGATTTGAAAACAATGAAATACAAACCAATAAACCAAAACATTTTCTGCACTGTAAAGCCAAAGTAATAATATTACAACTGTGAGGTTATTTTTTTCTCCTTTACCTGCAGTTACAGTCTTGGGAGTGAAATAATCATTATTCCTGGAAATTTGTTGCAGATGGTTTACTGTGTGAAACATCATCATTGTTGATTGTTGTTGTTGTTATCATTGTTATTATGGCATTCCTGCCATGTTCTCTCAGTGTTAATTCTGCATTTCTCCTATCAGTTTCTTTGCTCAATTTAAATCACAAAATGTGGTGAATTGATGTTTATAAACTGGCTGTGATGTGTACCTCTGCCTTCCTTGGGGGGGGGGGGCTGCAATGGATTAGCTTTTCCGGAAAATGGACGGATTATTGTCCACGTTAAGCTAAATTGTTCAAGTAAATTCTCGGAAATACTTGAATTCAAAGTCACCGTCCTGTATTTACTGTGCTGTTCCTTTTGATTCGCACGTTTTCCCTTTTGAGCTATAGGAAGCCAGTGGATTTTACTCCTTCAGCGCTTGGTGATAAACAATAAATGCTTAATTACACTTTCACGGCTGTGGTTGAAAGCCCCTGATCCAGAACCCGCGGCCGTACTTGAATGCTACATGCGGTGGGTTTTATATTATTTACGTGAATATTTTAAAAGCCTGAACACCTTCTTTGTTGCCTGAGCCTCCCTGTTTGCCTTTTCTTTCTGTTTAACACGGTGATCCTACAGACAGCTCACCAAGAGTTTATAAACGTTTCACCACGTTGAAATACTGTAACTTTTCTTCCGCTTGCTATACATATCTGCCACATCACTCGACATAGATACGTGAACCGTCTAACCAGACGGAAGTGATTGAATTGATTTCTGTCACACTCATTCTTGTGTTACTCTGTCAGTCTCCTGCACTATGCTGTGAATATCCTTGTGCTAAATTTTGGAGGTACATACTTGGCATCCCAGAAATACTTTCAGATTTTACAGAAATGTCTTTCTGCATTCCAGTCCATATTTTGTGAGCAGTATTCCCACATTACTAATAATGATGGATGGCCAGACAGCTACGGCGCCTCAGGTTAATCTCGTTGTACCTCTTTTTTAGCATCATGAAATTGGGTTTGCACAGGTGACTTTTATATTTTCATGCTTTTAGGAATTATTGTGCTTAAACCTTTAAAATAGGCTTTCATATTTTAGCTGTTAATTTTCTATTCATATGTCTAATTTGTATTTTTGCTTCTCTGTTTTGTGTACTGTGCAGTGTTGTCTAACGCTAATTTCATGTGCCGAACAGTCACCATTGAAAATGATGAAAATAAGATTGTGTTGCATTTTTCTTTCCTACACGCCCTGTCCAATTAAATCGTGGATGATGGTGTTGATGAAAGCTGAGGGTTGATTGGTCTGCCAATTATTCTACTCAGTGTATGAGGAATACATGTGGTGGTGGTTGCGCTGGAGTGCAAGAAGGATGCAGCGTTCCTGTCAGACCTGCCCCCCCCCCAAACAGACTGAAAACTGTGTTTTGTTACCTTAGAATGATCTCCAAGCTAGAGACACACGAAAGGATATAGCAATGTGTTTGTGAATCAGGATGAGTAAAGAAGGTAGAAGTGGCCACAACTAGCCCAAAACAGGAAGTATCAGCGGCTTAGAATGGCTTTGCACCTGGTAGCTATATTATAAACAGGAAGTTGTGGAGTCGCTTCAGACCACCATGTCATCGACATACGTGTGTTACGGAGAATGTTGTTAACTGGCTAACAGTCAGGGCTTTTAAGCAAGAATCAACACCATGGTTGAATACTTACTGACATTTTGATTTGCAGTTTTTACCACAGACATAGTATTAAAAAACAAAGCCTACACAGTTTTTTTTTTCTCAATCAAAACACGTGGTTTACATGTCTTTAGAAAAAGTGCTGAAAATGCTATTTTCATGCAATTATGGTGATAAAATTGTCTGTGCCTTAGTCTGTCTTTTTGATCAGTTTTTCATAGGAATGTTGCAAATCTGGTAGAACAAAATATATTATGAAAATGACCAAAAGCTGAACCACTGAAGCTTGAGACCTGATCACTCCAGTGCCATTAAAGACTAGTTTGTCTGAACGCTGATTTAGTTCATTGCAGAAATCAAACCTTGATGGTTTTTGTTTCTGGTAATTGCTGATCGAGAAACTGGTATCACTTGATTGGGATGGTGAGCTGAGTTGAGGTCTGTAAAGGTAAAATCTGTTCAAATAAATTGAAAGAGGAATTATCCACGTTGTATGAAAAACATCTGTTCTTTGATAGTTTTGTTAAACATAATGTTGTTTAATACATTTTTCTCCTCCCCAGCTCTTGGTAGATCGCTGCGCTGGTGGCCGTCTTTAGAATGTCACTCTGTATGATGTAATGACCCTTCAATGCTTGGACAGTCTCTGGTAACTTCGGGGATCTGTCAGGATCTTCCAGGATCCCCTGGGATCTGCTGCCATCCACTGAGACCTGTGTGTCCAGACCACAAGACACCGGAAGATGGTGACACACCAGGACTCCACCCCCCCCACCGAGCTTCTTTATCTGGCTCCAAGTACTAAAAAAAAAAAGTGGCTTTGCTTTTTTTCTGAGTTGTGTGTAATTTATGAACGTGACAAAATCTGTTGTGGGATTTCTAAGCCACAGAGGTATCACATTCGTATTATATTTAAAGTGGCTGAGCCCTGTGACTGACTGAAATGGGAACATGCCAACCAGTTTGGATTATTTCAGCTGGAATCATAAAAGGACTCGCTGGGAAATTTATTTTACAGAACGTCTGTAGTTTCTTTGTTCAGACAAGAGCGACGTGAAAGGCTTGCAAATCGAAAGAACGCTAAACTGAAATGATTGAGGATGCCTCACTTGATTTGTTTCCCCAGGAAAATTTGAGCAATTTTCCCCCTTTAATCTTTTCATTTATTATTTGTATAATTATTGAGCTTTCTTGGCTATAACGGGCCTTTTAATGGTGAGAGATGTGGTTTTATTCATATTGTGAAAACACCCTGTTGGAAACATATCCTGTCTGCCTGTTGCTTTGAAGGGCTGTATGGGCATTTTCATTTAGTATGGTATAGTATAGTGCAGTATGGTATAGTATAGTGCAGTATTGCATCACATTCTATTGTATTTTATTGTAATGTATCGCACAACATAGTTTAGTATACTACCTCGTTTTAAAAAATGCGGTGTAAACTAAATAAAAATGTAATGCAATCATTTTTAAATCATATCATTCCACAACAATAGAACAAAGAACGTATCAAATGTTAAAATTGAGAAATTTTATTGTTTTATGACAAATATATGCTCAATCTGAATTTGATGCCAGCAACACATTTCAAAAAAGTTGGGACAGAGGTTTGTTTACCACTGTGTGGCATCAGCTCTTCTTTTAACAACCCTGTAAACGTTTGGGAACTGAGGAGCCCAGTTGCTGGAGTTTTGAAAGTGGAATGTTCTCCCATTCTTGCCTGATTTCAACTGCTCAGCCAATCGGGGTCTCCTTTGTTGTATTTTTTGTTTCATGACGTGCCAAATGTTTTCAACGGGTGACGTTCACATCATATCGAATAGGCCCTGTAAGAGTGTCTTGACAGACACCTGCTTGTTGGAGTCTTTTCAGCACAGACAGATTGTTCTGGATTCATTCGGAAGGATCCAGATGAGCACCGAGTGTTTTGGACTGTGGAATTTCACAACGATGAAATCACAAAATAATCTCATTTAGTTTGAATTTGGGCCCAGATTTGCATGCACAGGTGGACAGCTAAAATACGGCATGTCTGCTTAGGTTTTTGTAGCTTGATTAATATAGTTTTTTTTTTAAAGTTTATCTTGCTTGAGCACGCTATCTGAATAGAGTCTGTGTACTTTATCTGCGGCCTTCCCCAGCGATTTCCCCAGATAAGGGCTTGGCTCCCTCTCTCTCACCGTCTGTGTTGCAGTGGAATGCTTCACTCTCCATACGACACGCCGTTGGAATGAGACTCAGAGGCCGGGACATTCAAGACCCCACAGTGTCCTGGATATCCAGCATCCTGGGCGTGCAGAGCGTCAGGCTCCGCTTGAGGCTGGACCGCCGTGACGACAAGGGCCGGGGGTGCTGGCAGCTGGTGGACCTGGGCGGCGATGAGGACGGGAGGAAGCCATGCGGGGAGGCGACGGAGGCGTTCTCGCAGAGTAAGAAAGAGCGCTTCCTCTCTCTTCACAGCTAGTTTTATTTCTCTCCAAAACGCGTTTTTTTTTTTTTTTTTTTTTTGTGTGCCCGTTCTTCTGCAGACCCGAGGGAGTAAACACACTTTACGCTTTAATCCGTTTGGGACGCTGCTGCAGACGCAGTAACGCCACTGCATGTTGCGTTTTCCCGGGAGATCAAACGGCGGGAGATGAAACCAAAACACCAAGCAGACAAATTCGCCGTCATAAGTCAAGTACAGGTGCAGGAGGAGATTTGCTGTCAGATGAAAGATGAATGCCTTTATCTAATGTAATTCTGAATGAGCAGTAAACCCCCCCCCCCCCCCCCACATCGAACCTGGGTTTCTTGTATTTAAAATATGATTCATATGGTAATCTGGAGATGACAGGCATTAAGGAACAGCGTGGAGCCCCAGTGTGGGAGCAGCTTGAACGTTACAGACATGGCTGAAGTCGATGGGATTCACTGCACTCTGCTGCTCTTGCCTTTAATACTTTTATCAGCTTCAGGAATTTGTGATATCAGCAAAGGGGCTTTTTGAAGCTTTTTGCGGCTTTCTTGAAGCTCTTTGAAGCTTTGCGTGCGCACCTTGCCACCTCATACAATGACAGGCTGTAGTATCTTCTGTTCCGATAACACAGGCCCAGAATTCCAGTTCCGATTCATTTCACTGCGGCCCATGCATGGCCAGTCCACTCCTGTGCCGTGGGGATCTGTTTAGTCTTACTGCCTAGTGTTTCTCTCTCTTCATTTTAACCCCATTCACAAAAATAAGCTTTACGGAAACACATCGCTACAATGCACTCACCGTTTCATGTTTCTCGATGTGCTGTGCAATTGTTTTCATGTTTGGTGGTCTTTTTTTGTGATGAGCAGTTGTCATTTTTTAATTGCATGGTTGGCATAATTTTTATATAACCAATTAGGTTTGCTGGAAGATTTGTGAACCCTCAAGACAACTTTTTCCCTATGAAATAGCCAGTATTTGTGAAGATACAACAAGCGTAAGGAACTTTAAGTCACTTTGGGCTTCTAGGTTACCAAACAATACCTGCCAAGACCGCAGAGGGACACAGGAAGAGTGCTGAGAATGCTTATTGAACTGCAGAGGGTTTTTAAGTATTGCAGGATGTTGGTGTTTGTCAGTTGACTTTAAAATGAATATTCTACTAATGGAGGGAATTTAACACCGTGAAAACTTGGAATTAATCCACTGAGAGAAATGGCCCTAGTCATTCTAAGGAAACACCGGTCCCCATCTAAGAAGCACTTTGAATTGCACTGGTGAATTACAGCTGATCAGTGTACATAACTCAGCATGTATTGTGGTGCGTGCATCGTTCTGTGGGGCTGATCTTCTGCGTTTGGACCTGGAAGATGATTACCATGACATCACTCTCATCTATAATGTACTATACATACCTTTATAATGCATTATAATGGTCAGTATACGCATTAAGGATGCTTTTATACTGCATCATAAAGGTATCTATAGTGCATTATACATGAGTGCTTCATAAGGCAGTCATAATGCATAATAAACATGGCTATAATGTGTTATGCCTTTTTTATAAATATTTATAGCCATGATTATAATGCCTTATGAGGCTCTCATTAATAATGCACTAGATACCTTTATAATGCAGTATAAAAGCATGCATCCATGTTTATAATGCTTAATGAATGTATTATTATTTGTTATGAATTTGTTTATGAATGACTAAAAACATAGCTTCACTTTACACATCAAAGATCATGGGTTCAAGGCTGGGTGATGTATTCACAATGCACATATATTGCACTTAAATAAAATAATAGTGTTTTATTATAAAACGATATTTTTAAACAAATTGCATCTAAAGGATGTTCAGGTAATAATGTTACCGTGTTGACATTGACAGCACCTTTTTTAAAATGTAAAATGTGGCAATAACGTGCCATTAATGTTACCGTAACAACGTCAGCTGAAGTACTGGGAACCTGCCCTGTTAGCTGGGTATGCAAAACATATTTGTGTTGCATACATGCTCTGCTCCTCGTCAGTCTTGTTTTCGGGGAGAAGTTCTGCTGTTTTATCAATGAACTTTTTTGTCTTTGACTTTTAGCCATTAGAAGCAGAAAACAGTCTGTTGCATAAATGCTCGGCCTTCAGTGAAGAACGCTGAGGCCAGAAGAGAAGTTCTAATTGTGACTCAGTTTGAGTTGTGAGGGCCTGGGGAAGCGTGATGAGCAGTCTGTGGAAAGAGAGCCGCAGGCATTTTAAGAAAACACAGAACATGCATTGGAGTGCAAGTAGCGACACCTCGTTTGGTGTAAATGGGCCGACGTTTCGCACGTCCTTCACCACGATATCCACCACAAGCAGGAGCCTCACAAACAGACCTTTCACCTATTAAGCAACATGGTTCCATTAGTGGAAGCGCACAACTAATGCAATATGACGGCTGAATTATAGTGCCCCATGTCTGCAGACGCACAGAATGTCCGTTAACAGCAAACAAACGAATCAAATTAGAGCTGTTAACAATGCCCTTTAAAGTACTTTTTATCCAAGTGGAGAGTAATTCTTCACACAGCAAACTAAGAGGAATAATTTCAGATAAATTCATGCTATTCTTTGTGGTTTAAAAGACTTATCTGTCCCTGGGGTCCACAGACGTCCGTTTGCGTTGCGTGACACATGGATCAATGCAGGAGCGAGCACTGAAGGCCTCTGCTGCAAGACTCAGAGCGTGGTGACGGACAGGTGCGATCTTCTCTTGGTGCACGCTTAACACGATCATGCAAGGGAAAATTTCATTTGGGTAACGTCTCCGGGTTCTCTGCTTATGCTGAATCTTCCAACTCAGAAATTACCGGTTTCTAGGCGGAAATTTCAACTGGCACTGGAAGATAAAGGCCATTTAAACTGGGGTAAGTTAAATCTGACAAGTTGTTCGGACAATCTGAGAAGTTGCCCTAAGCAAGAAACAGCTTTTTGAAACAGGTCCCTGGTATTGCTGCATGGCTTTCTGACTTGGACTGGAACGTGTTTAGCTCGGGTGTGACGTCATTCCGGACTTCCAGCCCCCAGGGTAAATGAAATGCAAAGTGTAGCCCCTTTAGGTAGAAATTCGCTGTAGTGTCTTCAGATGCAATTGCGTTGCCGGGGTAAAGGAAACTCCCTTGTTAAATCTGCTGGCAGTTTGCCTCTGAAAAAGGAGGGAATTGCACAGAAGAGAAAGTCCAGGGCTGGTTCAGCAAATAAATGGTATATTACACTGGCATTCAGAGCCAGATGCCCGGAAAGCCCTTATGTAAACTGACATGACGGACATTTCTGACATGGGATGAATCTTGTCCTCTTCCCTGTTTGGCTTTATTAGATTGTAGGATCCTGGGCCTGCAATTACTGACTGTCATTAAGGTAACAGCAGTGACTAGAACAGAATATTCATGGATTCCCGGCCTGCGTGATGCTAGCTGCCTCAATATTTTATATCCCTGCCCCCCCCCCCCCCCCCGTCCCTTTTGAGGTCAGTATTTAGTTTGCCTCATTACTGTAGCACTTTGTTCTTGTTGTAGATAAGCTTGTGTTACTAAAATGTTTTTAAAAGAAGTGAGCTTCTTTTTGGTTTTCTTTCTTCACCGATTGCATGTTTTCATGACATAATCAAAGCACCTACTTCAGATAATCGAGACGTTTATAAACCTGTTTTGCGGGAAGCAGTCTCAGAGGATCTGCAGATACATTTGGAGGGATCATAGGCAGTCGGGTGTAATCAGATATAATCTTAGGCTGCATGTGTTATGTGTGCAGTCTGTCTTTGTAGGAGTCTGGTACTCTGGGAGAAGGTCACGGGTGTCTTTAGTTTGGCTTTGTACTGCCATAATGCTTCCAGCTTGCACTTTGCTGCCTGCATGGTGTGTTTTCTGCTCTGGACACCGGGAATATCCCTAATCCTGCTTTTGCTGTAAAAGCAAAGATCATGTGTGAGAGTTTATCTGCATGGGGTATAATTAAGTTTCTCTGAATGATTAATTCAGTAAAGTGAATTATTCAGTAGGGATTCAAAAAAAAAAAATAATGAATCGCATATAATACAAGTGAGAGATAGGGGATTCCCTCAGAGGTGAATTTTCATGCATGTAATGAATGGATTATCAGAATTAATGCATTAAAATACAGGTGAATTAGGGCACCTGTGTTACAAAATAGAAAAGATGACCACAATACCGTTTCACAAAAATGTCTAAAATTGCTGGGAGTGGTCTTTGAAGTAAACCTACCTGTTTTTGGCATTTCATTAACTGGGGTCAAATTTATTGTATGTTCAGTCATATCTCATCGCAAATCTGAAAATCGAATGTGACAGGCAGCAGACGATGTAATGAAGTTCAGGATTTCTGAGAAAAAGCTTCTCTTCGATCCATGTGATTTGAGTCCACACACGGTGCGTTTTTCTATCACCTGGCAGTGCGGTCTGTTGCTGTATTGGATTATCTGTCTGTTGCCATGGTGACACGATCTGAGTTGTAAATATGTTCTTTTTATTCTTCAGAGTATTATTCTTACGTTACTTCTGGGTTTTATTCTATTCTATTCTATTTTTTTTTTAAAAGGCCAAACAAACAATGCACTTGGGATATTGGCGGTTTGATGCGCATGTTTACTTTTAACGACTCATCTGGTGATAAAATTTAAGGTTTAAACTTAAAAAAAAAAAACATCCACAGAGCTGAGGACTTGCATCAGCCAGACGCGATGTGTTCAGAGGACTGAAATTAGAACATTTTAGTAATGTGAACTGTTTGTTGTTCTCTTTAAAAATTCAGTCTGGGGATAGATGTCTTTTCCAAAAACAGGATTAAGAAAAAACAGACATGGAACGGGGCTGCGGATTTGACATTTACCGCTCGTTATGGATCAGCCTGCACATTAAATGAAATATTGACCTTTTGTGGATACTCCAAATGCAGTTGTATTGGTGGTTTTAAACCA